TGTCCTGATAATTTAACCACTGTCAGACATGCCAATATTAGCGTGCAGTATATTGGTGTTTTGGAGGGGGGGGGTTGTTTGCTTGCTTTGATGTGTAGAAATAAGGGTGTGGTTTATTGTGAATACTTGTTATTGGATGTCTGGTACTTCACAGCACAGGAGGCCCCTGTTGGGGTTACATGCTCCACTACATTTACTGTTTATTTGTGTATTTCTTAGGGGAGAGAATTCACACAGCGAGGCAGCAAGCTGCTCGGCTTGCTAATTTTCTTTCCTTCACTTGATTCCCAGCGCTGCTTTTGCCCTCACCGCGCTCCATATTCAAAACCTGCAGTGAATGCAAATTAGGTTTTTTTCCCCCCCTTTTGTTTGTTTTGTGTCTCAGTTTGTCAAATTTGTTAAAAGATTCCCAGAGGAAAATGTGTTTGGAAAGAGATGTTTACTGTCTTTATGTTGTTCACTGTTTAAACTCTATCTATCTGAGGCAGCTGCTCTACAGATGAACCATGAAGTGGTTTATATTTTCAGTATGTGTCCAGTCTGCTTCAGTCTTCAACTGAGCATCATCGTCCTGTGTTAGAGTCGTAGCCTTTTCTCAGTGGGTCAGCCAACATCTTGGTTTTGCAGTCATTTCTGCAGATGAGCAAAGACAGCGAAGGCAGCGAGTTTGTGAATTCACTGAGTAGTGAACTCTGTACCTCACCGTCCCCCGAACATTGCTTTAAAATGCAACCACATTCTGTCTGAACTCTGCGGACATCTTGCAAATCCAGTTCATGAGATCTAAAATCAAAGACCAGATGCACATTTTAATTATATATCAGGTTCCTGGATTCACGTCCGACTTCTTATTTACTTTTATCTCTCTGTATTTTCATTGTTCACAACACCACACTGACACATGACTATTTGATCACCAGTGGGCAATACTGAATTAAACCAAGACAATAGAACAAACATTTCGAGTCCGGACTCCTAAGTCCAAGACTACAGCACTGCTTTTTAACATCACGTCCTGCCAACACCAAGACCGATACATGACAGTAACGTGATAAAAACAATGTAACAAGACAAAAGAAACAATAAAAGGACACTCACTATCACTATGTCCTTCAGAGAAACCCAAATTTTACTTGAGTAAAGAAGCTGAATCACTACTTCAACTTTTACTCAAATCTTTTTAGTATCTGTACTTCTACTTGAGTAAAGAATGTGTGTACATTTGCCACCTCAGAGTCAGACTGGGTCCAAATTATACTCAGGTCAGATTGGGTCTCACTTTATTTCCGTGGTCTGTGTCAATACGTCAAATACACAAGTAAGAATAAATTAATGCACATCAGGTCATGTATGTTTTTCACAGGTCTGTTACAGATTAAGTCCAGTATTTTGGCTCATACTAGAGTATCCATACAACTATTAAAAGGAATCAGAAATTGGCTCGTGCAGCAGAGACCAGTGGGTATTCTCACATTGTTCAGTCTCCCCACACACACCACCAGCACCATCAAGCTGCTACAATAAGCAGGAGATGGAGCGGAGCGGTGAATAATGGATCACAGGCATTATCAGCTGATGAAGAGCTGCACACATGAGCGATGGCGTCTTTTTAGTGCTTTTTCAAAACAGGCCGCAGTCTGATTTAAATGTGTACTCTTAGAAAAAAGAAATATGGGGACGGCTGACTTGCAGCTTAATCCCAACATATTGGAACATTTATTCAAAGCAATGACACATGAAATTTTATTTTCTCAGGAGCAGGGACATGCAGTTGAGGGGATTATGGTTTTCCTTTATTTTTCTGACAAACATTCGTGAATCACAGCCACCACTCCTCTCTTTAGCAGCAGCTTTAAAACATTTAAAAACATCTTATTTTCTAAGTAAAACACCAAGAATAATCTCATAAAGGCGAAGCGATACAGCCTTGTATTCAGGGACTCTCCTGTGTTAAGGAGCCATTCAGAAGTGAAAACATGTTGGCACAAGATATTCAGGTCTCAGTTTAATGCAATATTGACGTGGTGGGCAGCTCGAGTAAATGCCTCAGACAGAGATGGGAGTGAATCTGGAATGGGTTTCGCACACGAAAGAATCTTTTCTACGGTTTGTTTTTGCGCTCCAGAGCCCAGAAAATGGCACGTTATTGGCAGCAATTTTGGTTTTCTCCACCGTTATCTAGTCGCACTATTTCAGTTTATGACGGACAGATGAAAACGGGGCAGGAGACCCCCTACTGGGAGTGAAGTGGCAGGGTCATATTCCTCCTCTCCTCTCACTCGTTCATCCTGTGACCTTCTATCGTCCATTAGCCTCCAGCTCAGGCATCCATAGTGTCTCTGAGGGTCAACTGGAGCTTATCCCACTGAAGCTGTGCATGTGTTTCTCCCATAGGGCATGAAAATATATATGACATACCTTTACAATACAGTATATATCCAAAATGCATATACATGCATAAGAATTTGCTCATGTTTTTATTAAATTATTTGTATTTTAGTAAGAGGGATGCACTGTTGCAAATGCACCTCAAAAATGTACTCGTAATTGTACTGTTTTTTGGTTTCAGATCTATTTACAATTGCATAAAATATGTTTCAGATACATTATAGGTCACTTTCTTTTCTGGAATACATTAACAACATTGACAGATATCGTCAAGCTATCGTCTCAACAAGTCCACAAATCCCCATGACATCGTTGGTAACTGTAAAAAATATAATGACCTTTTAGGTGTTTTTGTCTTTGTGTGTTTGATAACTGGAACTACAGAGGTAACAGGAAATGAGGAGAGAGAGCATGACATGCAATAAAGGTCCTCAGCCAACCACGCCTACCTTTGGGGTTCATTTACTGTTTGAAAGCAGGAATGTATATCACTGCCATTTCAAAATATTCGGCTGTCAGTGGATGATTTGTGCACCGAACATTTCACATTTATAAAATGACAGCAGTGATTTTACTGCTCAAGCTTTTTCCTGTGAGTGAAAAGTTCATTGTGTCTAACAAACCACTCTGGATTTTGTAGTCTGGATATTAAAGCCAGTCACTGTACCATCATGAAAAAAGATACAAGAAACAGCAAGTCAATGAGCACAAAACCAGACCTATACATATCTGTAATGTGGTCAGAGCTCTGAAACCAAGCTAGCTCTACAGGTACTTAACAACGATTTGGAGTTGTTGAAAGCACTAATATGGAAGTGAGTTCTGGTATTTAGATTAGACATGCATAATAATGACTCCATGCTTTGTAAATCTACTTGGATATAGATGTGCTCTACCTCCTTTACCTAGTAGCAGTAACACATTTCACACGATGGTTGTATTTTCACACATCAGTGTTGAGTACCATGCTTCACTCGCTGGCACATTTTGGCACAAGTTGACCCGATTTAAAGGCACACCACCTTCCTCCCACAACCTCCCACCAAATCTCTTTATATAATTGTGTATTTTTGTGTGAGTGTGTTTCTCTGGTCGAGCACCGTGCACTGTGTTTTCTGTGGTCTTGTCCACCTACACGCAGCTGGACGAATGAACCCTGCCCAACTTCCCCTTCCCTCTCGCCTCCCCCTGAAGGCAAGAACCGCCAGATGGCTTCTCTCACCTCTTGAGGAGCCTCTATCTCCCTCCTTCTCCACAAGACCAAAAAACATCTTGTGCTGATTAGGAGGAAGCTTTACAGCCTTGCATTTGTGTCTGCTCCTTTTACAAGCGCCCTTGTTTTCTATTCTGAAAGTAATGTGCTGACTAAGGCTGCCTTTAGGGGCCTTTTTTTCCTGACACGATTTGTCTGCACTTTAAGCTTTGATGAAAGGCTCCTGGCAATGTTTGTTTAAATCTACAAATTAATCAAAAGTAACACCCACCTACATGGCTGAACCCCATTTGGAATTTGGATATTTATCAATTCCACGGAGGCTTTGCTAAGCCTGAAACATTATCTTACTGTCTTATATTCTAGGCTGAATAATGTGTTGAGGTATTAGATTGTAACTCTCTGAGGGAAATTTGAATCCTTGAAGCAAAACGAACTGAACAGGGAAAGATTGTGCTTTAATTAATGTTTGTCTCATGGCCTTTTGACAACCAAAGCACAGTAGCTCAGAATAATACCCCTCATACATATATATATATCAATATATAAAAGCATCCACAGAGCTGTGTGAGTTCCTATTAGTGAGATCATAGCCAGACGCAGTGTAAACTTCCCTGACTCCCCATCCAGCGAAACATTAACTTTAACAATGTTTTAGATAAAAGGCACAGCTGCAAGGTATCTCATTAGACCCACAGGGAAAGAGACGAGCAATAGGAAGCGCACGACACGAGCATTCTTCCTAATTCTGTACAGGAAACAATAAAAGCAGACTGGCCTCTCCCACATGGCTTATAAAAGTCCACAAATGTTTCTGTTACAGAAGGCAATCCCTGACTGTGCAGTCTGGTACGGGCTTTTTAAGAGTGGAAGAAGTCGATTGACTTCTTGGGGTTTTTTTTTTGTTTTTTTTTATTTAATTTGATTAGTAGACATTAAAACCGCTTTGTGTGCTGATTGTGCCCCTAATGAAAACCATAGAGTTAAATGAAAGGACAAAGGGAATGCACACGCAGCACACATAATGGAAATGATTGCATTGTAACATAATCTAATTCAGCATGTAATTTGTTCTGCAGCAGGATTACAAATACTCAACATTTTTTCATTTTCCATGTGTAGAAGTTTGTGTAAAAGTTTTAATTGTTTTTGTTTGCTTACAAATTGTTGCTGGTAGGGTCGCTTGTGTTTTAATTTGGGCTCACAGCAGCTTAGAGGAACAGTGAACAGGATGTCTTTATAAATATGTGTTTATATATTCTGCACGCTGTATACCTTATAATAAGAGCACAGACTGCATCACTAAGCAACACAGCAACTCTGTCCTTCAAGCTGTATTATAACTTTTCTTTGTACTACGCTTCCTCACACTAACTCAGTATCTTTGTCACTTCTAAAGGAGGATACGGATCACGACTACTACACGTCCAAAACCTACAGCCCGTTGGATCCCATGAGCAAGGACTTGTGGGTAAATATCGACCAGATGGACAAGGAAAAAGTCAAGATCCACGGGATTCTGTCCAACACACACAGACAAGCGGCGGTAAGTCAACAAACAGCACGCGAGGAGCTTTCCTTGGTGTCCTTTCCTCTGTGGATGTCGGACCAATTGTGAATGTTACTGTACCAAATATACCCGAACCTGGGGGTCAGTTGCATATAGTCATTAGCCAAGTTTAACACTTTTCTGTTCAGACCTTAAGAACGATTTGTTTACTAACACTACATATGTGTATTGTAGTAGGTGTCTGTCTACTTTGTACAAAGAATAAAAACTCAAATTATGTGTGGGCTCACCTGTGACGCACCTTTAAACCTCCTGAATACTTCATATGTGCAGAAAAGATCACATAAAACATTTTAAATCCTGAAAAATAAATGATTTATTTCACCCAAAATTACACCACCAGAGGATTTAATTCCTTTCCTTCTATGAGTAGATACTCAACTCAACTTTACACTAGCTGAGATACAAAAAATGTGCATTAAAGACACATTGAACACTTTAATTAACCTTCTTAAATGAAAAATAAACTAGCATCCATTTAATTTTCTGACAATGGACTAATCAGTTGTCAGTGTTAAGACATTTCAAGATCCAGTGTGGCATCTATCGGTGTAGTTGCAACTCCCTCACTTCACCCTCCCCTTGAAAGAGCAAAGGAGAAACAGTTGCAGTTGAGTTGAACTCCATCTTTGACACAGAAACCAGGTCCAGTGTGGCTCTGTGTTAAATCCGATTAGTTACTACAGCTAAGCTAGCCAGATGCTAAGTGATGCAGCAACAGCCCCCATTTGATTTGATTTCACTTTATTATCAAAATATGTTTCTGAATTCTATCTTGCGTCCCAAGACGTAGGCTATGCTATTTCACATAAATAACAAATACAAATACTACATACATATATTACATCAGACTTTACGAGTCAAGCTTTAAGGTTTTTCAACTTTTAGTACCAATCTGCATTTGGAGATTTAATCCTCTCACAAACACAGACACGGCCACGCCAATCATATCAGTCTTCAGCTACTGGAGCATAGCAGCCGGTTAGTTTAGCCAGTGATATGGGATCAAAGAGGAAGAGAAAGATAAAAATCAATACCCACAACACAGAGAAGAGATAGGTGTATATGCATATATGTGTCAGTAAAGTATGGAACTAACTTCATCGTGCTAAAATATTATACTAATTACATAACAAACAAGCCCCAGCTCTTAGATTGACCATTGACAAAAGACATTTGTTTCCTCTACCATTAAAGCCATGGCAATGTGGTTGGAAAAAAATATATTCCTTTAAGCAATTTAAACGGTTTAGGAGAGTTTCTCTCTGCAGTGAAGTTTCCGAGCTCCTCTTCCTCCACCTCTTCACAAGCAGGTGACCCATGTGAGGCGCATACTGATGAAGTCACACAAGGCAGCGGCAGTAGACTGACTGGAGAGACAGAGCAGCATGGCAGCAGGGCAGTCACAGACTATACAGGCTGAACAATAGCTGGCGAGGAGATAGAATAGAGATTCACATTGCGTATTCTGCTCCTCTACCTTCAGTCGTGTAATGATGGATTGAACCATACAATTTGAGGGAAGCTATTCTATTTAGCCACAGAACTGCCCTCAAAAGAGGCGAGGCTTTTCTTCCTAATAGCATAAGAGGGATGTGGGAGGTTTCTCTAACTTTGGCTTTAATAATCAATAAGTGAATTTCCCAATTCAAAGACCGGCCAAGCAATCCAGACTCAGAAGGCGATATTGAAATCTTGGCTGGATCATTTGATCATGAGATTGCAGCGCAAGTAGAAGTGAAAACCATCTGTGCTGAAATTCAGCCACTGTGTCAGCAGACTAACATTTTTAAACAAATAGACTATATTATTATGGCAGTTAAAGTCCTGAGAAACTACATAAAAAAACTCTGAGTGCTGGAGGAGGATTGGAGAAAGCTTCCCTGTTCCTTCCTGGCACTGCTGCCTGCCAGAGACACTGAGAGGAACTGGCCAATAAGGTCGTAAAAGAAAACACAGCCGCAGAGGTCAACTTCATCACAGAATTGTAGTAAAAAAAAAAAAAGTTAAAAGTTAAACTCTGGATCGGCTATATGGTCTGTGAGAATTTAGTGTGGTTGGCCACTGGGATTACTCCCTCCAGCATAATCTAGGATCATCTATAATAGCTGCATGTTTACTGTGGACGGTAGCTCCATAACATTATCTGGCAGTGGTTACGATGTGACTGTAGCATATTGAGTTCAGGAATAATGAATGCATGCAAGTCTTCGTTTGTGGTGATGTGGTCATTTTTGTATAATACTATAGTTTCTTGAAACTTTTTTTTTATGTTTTAATTCCCATCATCATATTTATGAATTGTATGGAAGCCCATTTCTACCAAGAAAAGAAAAAAGTTGATCATGAAAGAATGAGTCAAAATTTTAATCTCATAATTTTAAACACATTTTTGACTAATTATGTCAGTGTGCGTGGGGGAGGGTGTTTCTAAAGCCATTCAACCATCCAACTAAAACTTTTAAAGAAGCATACTGGCTGTTTAAGAGTCTGCAGCCATGCTAGCCACTCTGAGTCTGAACTCAGCATGCTAACAGGCTCACTATATCAGTGCTAACATGCTGATGTAAAGCAGGTATAATGTTTACCACGTTCACCGTCTTAGTTTAGCGTGTTAGCATGCTAACATTTGCTGATTAGAAAACAACCATAACCATTATTATAACATTAACACCCCTTTTTATTTGTTAGAATGACAAAAACTAAATCTTTAAATTCAAATTATGTGATAATAAATCAAAACTGACATAACTCAAGGTTTTGACTCACTGTATTAGCATTTTTGCCTCAGTAATTATCATAATTTGAACTTTCAATGTCACAATTTTGACTTAAAAAGTCACAATTTCAACATACCATCTCATAACTTATAAACAGTATCTGATCATTTTAACTTTCCGTGAGTATTTTTATTTCTGTAACTTCTTCTTCTTCTTTTCTAGCAAAAATGTGCTTCCATATAATAGACATTTACAAATAAGTATATTTACCCATCAAGTTTTATTTTAATGTTTAATATTTATTTAATATTACAAGGACATCGACATTTCCTTGAAATCTGAATCTTTCAGGAAGGAATATGATTTTCCTTTCTTCTTGTACTTACATGTAACAGAGGTCATATGCAAATATATATTTTTTTTAACACATTTACATTCTTCTTTAGATCACTATTTTAGATCTCTACACAGAAATGACAAGCGATTGCCTCACAAGGTAGAGCCGATATAGCAGACAGGGCACCTTTGTATTTTCTCTCCACATTTCCCTTCTGATCTAAATCCTCTTGTTGTTTTTATAAGATGAGAACAGTCTCTTCTCTGATCCTCTTCTTACCTCTATCTTTCTGACCGGGGTCATTTGTCTGTTTTTCCCCTCACAGAGAGTTAATCTGTCCTTCGATTTCCCATTTTATGGACATTTCCTGCGTGAAATCACCGTGGCGACTGGTGGTAAGTGAGCACTGTTCTTGGACTCTGTTCTCTTAATAGTAGTTATTACTGTTATTATTGGACATACTGTATGTGCTTGGCATATTAAACTGTACACAGACAGTTTTTATTGCTGCTGGATTTAGGAGAGAATGCGGTAAGATTTGTAAAATGACTCTGGAGTGGAGAGATGTTTATGAAATGGAGAGAAAACACAGCGTCTGCATGTGTTCTGGTACTTGGTGTACCTGTGAGTGTGACGTGGCTACCGTACAAAGACATCTCACCCCTGAATACAGAAAAGGACCGGACAATGAGTTATTTCTTTTCTCTGGGAAATTACATCAGAAGATTCATGGTTGAAAAAGCTTGTCTGGCACAAAACCACAGTACAAAACCACCAACAACACACTGCCAGCCAAGCAGTCAGCCTGATACAGGACCATTTGCAGCTCTCACCTCCGCGGGATAGTCTGCTAGACTGGGGGATAAAAAAACAAACCACTCCCAACACTCAGCACCACCAACTCCACACCAGACTTAACTGGAAGAGAAACCAGACCAATGGGTTTGGACTGGAAACAGGAGTCCCTCTGCCAAGTGGCCTAAGCACACCCTGATAGACATGGATAAGGAGGTGGGGTTATCAGGAGATGTGTATGAGTGGGTCCGACACGTGACTCAGCAGACGTGTTTGCCAGAGTGTGCAAAGCAATTTTCCACTTGAGTCTTGACGGCGAAACCACAACACCCCAACCAGCTATTATCACATCAAAGACTAAAGCCCTGCTCTTACCCAACTATTTCAGAGATGTTGTGCTGCGTTTAACTGCCACTGGAATAATAAAGAAATAATTCGTCTTGTCTCTTATCATCATTATCATCACTGTCTCATTTTCCCACTTGATCCTCCATAGCTGGCAAAGTTGAGTTGGTTTCTTTTGGCTTCGGAGACTTGCCGGATGATGGTGTGGAGGGATGGATGGGCTCAGACGCTACTAGCGCAGAGGAGATAACAAGAATTTGCATTCCTACAGACAGAGATGGAGGGATGCGACTGAGGAGGAGAGAGGAAATTGAGGAGGAGGAGTCGGCTATCTGCCTCTTGCAGGCCTCTGGGGCTTTGTCTCTGAGGCACTTTCCTCATATCCTTCCATTTCAGGGCCTATCACTCTGCTCCTCACACCACTGGACGGTCTTCTCTCCCAGCTTTCATTGCTGTCAGCTGTTTTTATAAATATTAAATTAATATAAAAATTATTTATTTTCGCTACCTGTGCACAAACGTGGCATGAATATTTCAATTAAATTTGGTTTTGTATTTTCAGGGCTGCAGTAACATTTAAATCAGGGCAGCCGCGAGTTGGCAAACACCTGAACAATGTGGGAAACAAGATGGGGGTTGGCGTGGAGCCTTGTTAAACATGTGAAGTCTGAGTCCACTTTTATGGTTTTTTGCATGCAGTAAATTGAGAGTTACAGTATCTATCATAATGTAGCCAAGTGTGTGGGTTCCACTAACTGAATAGGTTTAATAATAAATTACCAAACGGGACATAGAGACGTAGTGCAATGACCAGCAACAGCTTATTTTATTTTTCTTCTTCTCCCACGACAGCTTCCACCTTATGGCAACAGAAACACCCTGTGAAACACAGGATAGACTGTTACAATAAGAAGCAGTTTTGAGCCAAGAAACATGTTTCAATTACAAATCAAACTTGCTGCGTGAGTTTACAAAGTGTAAATACATCAAAACAGAGACTTCTGAAACAAGTTGATTTGTGGTAGAAACAATCTCTTAATCGTCTTTTAAAGGTTTGAAGGCTCAATTCGAACAAAAATGTCTCAAATAACATAAAGATTTTTTTGTGTTTTCACATTTTAAGCTGTGTTAACTGAAAGTCTCCAACTTTGTCACCCTTCAGTGTGAGGTTAAAACAATTATTTGATTAATTGAGTTTACAGAAAAATAAACGTCAACAGTTTTGATAATAATTTAGCTGCTTTAAGGACCAGTGTGTAGGATTCAGTGTTACCTATTGGTGTAGTCACTTCACCCTGCCCTTCCAAGCGAGAAGAGGAAACTACAGTGACCATGAAAGGCCCAATGTATGGTTTGTCCATTCTAGGATACTATAGAAACATGGCAGATACTGTAGAAAAAAACGGCTTATTCTAAGGTAACAAAAACACAACAATTCTTTTTTTCAGGTGATTATACACTAATAAAAACATAACTATGAATATTTTATTATATTTCTGCCAATAGATCCTCCTAAATGTTACACACAGGACCTTTGAGTAATTTTTTTCAAAACATGAGGATTCGCTCCTGCAATATCTGTAAATTGAATACATTTTCATTACTTTCTGACGTTTATAGACAACAATTAATCTTAATTAAACAATAATCTGCAGTTAGAATAATGATGAAAATAATCATTAGTTGCAGTCCTACTGCAGCACTACTATAAATAAATAACACTGTGGCAGACATCACCCACACTAACATTACTTTAATAGACTGCAACACCTTCAATTAAAACAGAGACAGAACACATTAAAATATGCCTAGAGAAGCGATTTTCATACAGTCAGGACAGTTACAGTGATTACAGCCTGCTGCAGGAGTTGTGATGAACATACAGGTTATTTTTGGTCAACAGTGTGTGTCTGAACAGTTTGTGTCGGGATGTAGAGACCGTGAATATCAGTGATGATATACGATCTGACCACCAACAGCTGTGTCGACGGATATCCAGCTGTGGCATGCTGCTTACTGGGCCAGCTGTCACACTTTACAACCAGAATATAGATGAAGAAAACACATGAACATTTTCATCAAATCATAGGTTATTATATTGTTATTATGCCGCTAATGTGTATGTAAAGTACCAAAAACGTAGCATGTGTGAGGCGAGTAAAGGGGCATATGAAATCCACTCCAGATATCATTGTAGAGGGGCTCATATGCCTAAATCCTGTATTCTCTACAACCGCATATAAAGCAATATTCACTTCTGGAGCATTAATGATGGCTTTGGTGTGAATCTGCAGTGAGAGGCTGCCTGAATGCTGCAGAGAGGATGACTTTCCTTCCAGTCTGTTTCTGTTTTGTTCCACTAACAGACACTCATGCCATCGTAAATGATGTTTGAAGTGTTTCCACAGATGTGCCCGACGTCGGCTAAACAATGTCGGCACGCGGTTTTGGTTCCATCCGCTAATCTTCGGCTATTTTTGTTGCAACTAACTGGAAAACTGTAGTGATCCCGTAACAGGGGATCTAAATGTCATGGGAGGATCCTCCAGCTCTGATCTCTCATTTGTGTTTGTTATTTGGACAGCAGCATCACTACAAGCTCGACTAACTTGGCTAACTGGAACACGCCGACTAGCATTCTACGGCTGATAGACAACAACTGGTGCTCTGCCAAAACTTTATTGGTCTAGAGTTTATGTTCTGCTTGTCTGAGTGGTGGACATAAATGGGCGATTTTGTTTGGGTCACAGGATGTACCAAGCTGAGGAAGTCACATACCAGTTCAGGACAAATACACATACTGTTTTATTAGGGATGAGCGAGTACACTATTGTCTGTGTCTATATCTGTATTTATATCCGTTTAACCAGTTGGTTGGTTGAATTAAAAACCGGACTAGCGGGACTAAATGGAAGTTTTAAAAAAATAAGCCTGAAATTGATATGGGTTTGATATGGGCAAATTAAGGTTAGGGAAGGATTATCTTCTTAGTTGAATATTTAAAAGTCAACAGTGATGTGAAGTTCAACCTTTTGTGGCCTAAAAATAACCACACATGGATGCAAACCCCACCTATCACCTCGACCACCTTCGGTACAACTTTCTTAACTGTATACTCTTACTTACATGAAAAAAACGAACTACAGGGGAGCCAGGGGAAGCTGGGATCCTCTTAATAAGACATTAGCTCCCCTGAAAGCTTGATTTCTGATATTTCTAAAATATTGACCATAGGCTATGTTTGCCATGCATCTCTATTTTTCTATATCTTCATCATCATGAATTATGTGTAAACTTGGGCTACTATTGATGTGTGATTCGTGCATCATTTGTGTACTCATCACTAATTCCCTTTAATAAAGATAATGCTATTCTTGCCATCACCACTGAAGAGGGGCAGCACAATATCATCAACTTCAGATCGGAAAATAAACTTTCCATGTCAGTGTGACGAATCGCCATTATTCAGCGTACTGTACCTCCCAGTTTGTCCAGAAAGAGTGAGCTCCCCCGAAAGCCAGTGTATAGTTCCCACACTGGCTGCCACTGAACATAATCCAAGCAATTATTTTCCCCTCAAAACATATTTGACAAAACAAAATACTAGCATACAAACAATTTTAGGGATGACAACTTTTTGTGTTTTGGCCTAATGAAGTTTGACTTTAGCCCTGTCATGGTGGGCAACCACTGCCAATTTTAAGTACCACAACACTGGAAAACATAAAACACATTACTTTCTGTGTGCCAGAGGATTTTTCCGTAGGTGAGGCATAATGGATTCATTATAGGCTGACGCAGTGTCGTTTTGTATCAATCAGCAATAAATATGTTTTTAAAAAGCAGACATTTAATTTAGATAAAAACCTTGTACCTTTGTATTTAAAGGACAAAAGACTAAATAAAGTGTGTGCGTGCGTGTGATCCAGCCTGGGCTCAGAACAGCTGCGATAAACAGAAAATATCCTGTAAATTAAACACAGCTCAGAATGAAGGAACAAAGACCTTGTCTAAACACAATGTCCAATAAAGTGAAGCTTTAGTCTAGTGGGGACTGCTAATTCCTGCTCGTGTTTTTCTTGGACATACACAGCCCAGCACTTTTGGATAGCAGCACATATAAACATAACTTGGATAGAATTATGTGACTCTGTCCCACCTTCCTGAAACCTCTTTCTCGACCTCAAACTGCTCTCCTTTATTTCATGTCTACTTTCTTTCTCCTTTTCATTGTAACTCTGTTGTTCCTCAGGTTTATCCCCCCTCCTTCCTTCCTTCTCCTCCTCTGTCCAGCCTCCCTCTGCTGTAAGTGACGGTCATAATGGATGAATTGCCTCTCTATTGAGCGCCCCGCGGCTCTCAGCTCTTTAGTGTATTGAGAGGCTGTCTGATTTTCTTTAGACTGTCAAATAAGTCGTATTGTGTTTTCAGGAGATTGCGGTTAGAGAGCAGAGGCAGCGCCAGAAGTAAAAAAAAACCTTCGACAGAGGGCATTGTGTGTGTGTCCAGACAAGTGTGCGGGGGATTTCTAAGCCTTTTTTTCTAGAGGTTTAAACCCTGAAAGGAGAAATAGTGAAGCAAAATGAACAAAGCCAGAGAAAGAGATAAAACCGAGCTCGGGTTGAATGTTGGGTAAATATGAGATGAGATGGAATGTAGTAGTGGCTGATTTGGAGGAGGTCATTTGTGTCGCCGCACCATCAAAGGATGTGAAAGTGCAGACACAGCAACATACAACCGCTAGTGAATGGCATTTATGTTTACCTTAATATGTAAGTAGACTAAACAACACAGCCTTTTTATTGTCTATTATCTCCTCTACCTTCATATACCATGACATAACATACAGTAGTGGGCGACTCTTATCTGCTGCGCTGTATGTTCTGCATGCACAAGGACAACCCGTGAACCATGTCACAGGTTTTCAATATCATAACATTTGCGCCAACTCACATATTTAAAGCAATTGTTCAACATTTTAGGAAACGTGTATTAAAATTTTATACTACTTCTCATGTATGTGCAGTTAATATGAATCTACAGCCAGCAGCCAATTAGCTTAGCTTAGCGTACAGGCTGGAAACAGGGGGAAACAGCTAGCCTGGCTCCTGCCAAAGGTAACAAAATCCACTTAAAAGCACATCTAGCTGACTAATTAACCTGTTATCTTATTTCTTTAATCAGTACGAAAACCAAAGTGTAAAAACTACAAATTTAGTCTGTGTGCTGAACTATTATGAGCAGTAACTTCCTGAAAACGTGTTGCCAAGCAACCAGTGGAGACTTTAGGGAGTTACTGGTCAGTAGTTTAGCACAAAACCAGCGTAAAACTTCCCTGTTAAACAAATGAGATGTTAATTTGTGAACTTTAGAGGTGCCACTAGATTTTGTTACCTTTGGACGGTTTCCCTTTGTTTCCAGTCTCTATGCTAAGCTAAGCTAATTGGCAGTAGCTTTAAATTTAACTTACAAACATGAAATTGGTATCAATCTTCTCACCTAACTCCTGGCAAGAGACCGAAGAATGTCAATGCAAAATGTCCAAATATTCCTTTAAGATTATTGCTGAAATTTGCTGTACAACAACTCCTAATTATATAATTGGCATCGAGCTGTTTTCTTTCCATTTTATAGCATAAAGTGCTCCAATACTGCTGATTTATTTGACACATACAACATCTAAAGACACAATTATTTGATTAGTCGATCTACATTAAATTAATGGACAACAATTTTGGTAATTCATTGATCAGTTTAGTCATTAATCAGGGAAAAAAAGCATAAAATGTGTACTTTATGTCATTGTTAATTACATATTGTATTGTATTGGGGTTTTAGACAGCCAAACCAATCAACTACCTGACAACAAAAGCAGTTGCCACCTTATTTTCAAAACATGGAAGTATAACGCTAATATCATTAACTTACTAAATATTAATTATTAGTTTAGTTGTCCCCTGTTTAGTCGTTGCTTTTGCTGTCAAAATGTGAGCCAACTGTAAAAAGCTCTTGTACTTTTATTATTACTTTTAATTATTTCATTATAGCTTGAGCCAGCTTTTACAAAAGCATGTAAAATAGCTCTGCAGAAATGAATGAGTCCCTCTTGAGTTAAGATCGTTTTATGAATAGCGTTCACACTTTTAATAGAAATAAAATGAACCATAACCACAGCAACCCCTCCTATTGAGCCATAGAGGACAGAATCTTTTACCTCCATCGTTCCTCTTCCTCCAGGTGGAGTTAAGGACTTCACACAACTAAATAAAGTCACATCTGCACTCCCCCCCTCCCTCTCTCCCCTAGCTCCTCTCACTGTGTGTGCTGACAGTGCTGTATATAGAGGTAATTCTGAACAGGGAGGTCTTTGGGGAAAGATTGATTCCTCTCATGATATGCTCTGCTCCTGGTTTCCAAAGTGATAGATGTGTTTTTATAGCCCGCCTACTGTACGAGAAGACATATGGTGACATGAAATGGGGTTTTATAGGCTTGGCCTCAATGAGACTTTTCCCCAAAATACTCTTTTCTGTCTGAGCTGGGATTTCTTTTTCCCCCTGTAAGCCTCAAGCAGCTACTTTATAATTTGTATTTCTGTTGAACTTCTGCAAAAAAAAAAAAAAAGCAATTAGACCCCTTCATAAGAGAAGGATTTTTACTCTGGGTTGTTTGATGATTTTATTGTGATAGTATGTTACTGAAAAAATGTCCATCCTAAAGACCAAGTGAGGTGAAAGACATTTCCCATGTCCAACAGGAATGGTTAAAGGAATGGTTTGATATTTTGGGAGAAACACTAATTCACTTTCTTGCCGAGAGTTAGACGAGAAGATTAATTTCACCCTCTGGTGTTTGTGGTAAATATGAAGCTACAACCAACAGCTTAGCTTAGCACAAAACAGAAAACAAGAAGAGAAGGCCAGCCTAGCGAGGCAAATGTAGAAAAATCTCTAAAATATATAGTATACTACAGTGTAAAAAGGAATATTTGCCCTTTTACAGGGGGTTATGTGTCTGACTAGTTCTTGACTGGGAGCAGTTTTCTCCTTTTTTTGTCGGATTCAACAAATAAGATATAATGTGATAATTATTGAGCTTTAGAAGTACTTAGCTAGCTGTTCCCCCCTGTTTCCAGTCTTTATGCTAAGCTAAGCTAACTAGCTACTGGCAGTAGCTTCATATTTAGCATACAGATATGAGAGTTGTATCTCTCATCTAACTCTTGGTAAGAAAGCAAATAAGAATATTCCCCAAAATGTTAAACGATGTTATAAATCCACATTTCCTACTCACATATTTTAAGAAAAGACCGTATTGTTAGTGGCTGCTGAATCATGTATCTGTCATCATAAAAATCCTGCAGTTTCACAACTTTCAACAAGACAAAGTGGCAACATCAAGGGAAAACAGATGCCCCCTTTCCTGTTACAAGAATAATTTCTAAACAAGAGCAATTTATTTAAAACAGCATTTCTACTTTTTACTGATACTGTCACTGTAAGTTAACGCTTCACACCGCTCTTCAAAGGTAAATTATACCGGATACATGGGATTGTCTCAACTAAAATGTTGTGTTTTCCCTTTTGTTCTGAATAAAACCTGATTTCAAAGGTACATGTTAGGGTTTGTTTTGGATATTTCTGTAATTCAGGCAAAGCCAGAGGGAAAGACAATCGCTATTGCTTTGAATAAATCTTGAAATAACAGCTGACTTTGCTAAACTTTGTTGTCAGTGGAGAAATTAAGACAGTGTTTGATTCTGTTGTCATCAGTGCAAATTCATCATGCAAAGACCATTCCCTTGTGATGAATAGTGGGCGTTTTCCCACTTTTCTTGAGTCCATTAATAACCATGTTTAGAGGCTGCTAAATGATGCAGCTCTAGTTTGTGTTGACTGAGCACGTCCCTCTCTGCGGAGAGATCTATTTGTGCCGTGTTGACGACACGAATAAATTGGAAAAGTTAACATAATCCCTTTTTGTTGTCATGGTCTCTTCGTGGCATCTGTGATTGATGATGTAGAGTTAAAACACACACAGGAGGATGGAAAGGAGTACACTGGGAGGGTGAAAAAAAAGGGAAGAAATAGTAAGACTCATAATCGCATTATGATATATAACTGCTGACTCAGCATATCTTCCTTTAAAGCCCCTCAGATTTACCCCTTCTGTTTTTGATAAAAGATAATAGCGCTAATTAATCGGCGTTGTTTGCTGAAGCAGCCTGTAGCATGAGGCCGGAGACAGAGAGAGGAGTGATGGTTGTTGGGTAATGAGCAGCTTTTAACTCTGGACTGGAGGGCAGACTTGTTGTCTTCCTGAAATATACTGTATCAGATAACCGCTTTATAGAGGGAGGAAAGGTAGGAGTGGAGGGAGGGAAGATTGATGTTTGTTTTTATGAGTTGCTAAAGGGTGAATCCACTTTAAAACACTATAAGTGATACATTTACACATTGCTGATTCTAACTGTGAGAGCCTCTAAGAGTTTAATTTTAACTACTATTTTCAGTGCACTGAAAGTAATATGTTGTGTCTTTTCTCTTTTTTCTCCCCCAGGGTTCATCTACACGGGTGACGTCGTCCACCGGATGCTAACAGCTACACAGTACATCGCTCCTTTAATGGCAAACTTTGACCCGAGCGTCTCCAGAAACTCCACCGTCATCTACTTTGACAACGGTAACAGCAGTTTACTCCTAATATCTTATTTCTGCCTGAATGTGCAGCAGTTACTCTCTCTTGCGTTCAGGCACAAAGGTGGCGCTTTTGGCTCCAACTAGCTGGTTGTTCTGGTACCATTTTTGAATAAAATTAGATCTCAACAAGCTTGGTGGTAGGACACTGGTTCTCAAACTATGGTACGTGTACCACTAGTAGTAAAATACTACAACATTTTCAAGGAAAATACCACAAGATGACTGAAATGTAATTTCAAATAAGTTGTATTTCCTGTAATATTTTTTTGCTACACATTCATGTTCATGTACGTACCACACGCATACATCCATGATTAGTTACAAGCTAAAATATGATGGCAAGATAGTAAGCAAAGGTAAAATTAATGTTCTAATGTTCAATGTTCTCTGGTCCTTGAACCGCTTCCATTCAGGGTTCAGACATCAATAAATAAACGTATAATTGGAATAAACCTGCCTTCTGTGTAAACATAGCTGAATAGGGTTGACTTGGAGAGCTTTATATTATCTGATATGGTATTTAGTGTAAAACGTTGGAGAAACACTGCTTTAGAAAATACTAAAACAAAGAAAGAAATAATCATAAAAACAGTTAAGCTAGCAGAGTGACCGATATCGTGGTGTGCTCAACAAATTACACACAGCCAATACTGTTAAATAAGATTTTGTTGTTGTAGTAAGTGGGGCTCATTTTAACGTACACAGTACAGAAGATACAGTTTTACAAACAATTACAATCTCAATGGATTTTACCATGCTTCTACAGTATGTATCAATATCCACTCCTACACTTTTTACAGACAGTGTATTAGCCTATATATGAATATATGTATCATTCCTACAGTATTAAATTATATTTTCTTCAAAATTATCTTGAAATGAATGCACATACTCTGTTATTACTAAAGATACAAGAGAGTCATTTACAAAACAACAGTCCTTTTTCATTAAATTATTTTCTATTGAACTCTCCACGACCCCTGCAACATCCCCTTAAATTCCACTTATTCACTTTAAACTAAATGTATGCCCTTCCTCACTCTCTGCACCTATCTTTTGCCATCTGTGATGGTTGTTATCCTCCATGTCAGTCCCTGCCGTCTAATCCCTCTGCAGCAGAGTGACTGACCAACTGTGTGACCTTCTGCAGTGGAGCTCATCAGACTTTAACCAAACTGGCAGCCGATCGATTCTCAGCCCGCCTGCTCCTCAACACGCTGTCCATCAGTCAATGTCCTGCCAATACAGCAGAACTGTATGGTCTGCTGTGTTGTGTGAGAGACAGCACTTCTCTACACCACACTGTGAGCAGCGTGATGAGGCGTTTGCAGCAGGGACGTATTGTTTGTTCTCGACACTCAAACGGGACAGTTGGAGACGTATGAAACTTCACGGAGACGGTGTGAAGCTTTGTTGTTAGATCTTCAATTTTCGCTCATTTTTTAAGAAACTTTTTGTTAATTAGAGTCTGCTAAATAAAGAATATGATAAGTTAAGACATGAGTTAATCAAGCGGTGTAAAAGTGTTCTGAAGTTTGATATCGCACAATTATAAAGGAGTGAAAAGTGTCAGCAGCTGGCAGATTTTGCTGTTGTTTCCAGTGGGACCATATTGACAGTGTTAAAAATACCTCTCACAGCCTTTTTTATACAACAGTACAACTCTGTAACATCCACTCATGCATTACTCATGGATTAATTTAAGTCCTCTAAAGGAGCTGCAACACTCATCTGATGCTGGTAAAGAATTTCTTCCGTATTATCTTAAGAACTATAATCTTTTGAGCCCAAAATGTGTGGTTCATTTGGCCCAGAGGAATCAAAATACCCAATTTACACTGAGCTGATGACAGCTTAAGTTACAACGAAATTACACGGAGCTTAGTTGTTGTTCTCCCGGTCGCTTGAGACCTAGAGAAAAGTGGCTCCAACAATTTCAACACCTACACCCATATAGAAGACATACTGGGCTGATGTATCTGATCTCCAGTTCAACCACTTAATTTTAATTTGTGTGGCAGACAGACATGACATTTTTATTGCATGGGAGAGAGCCTGTGAAGACAATAAAACTCTTGTCTCGCTTGTTAGTTCATAAATCTGTGTCTTTGTGTCACGTTTACAGACTAGCTAGCAGGCTAGTTGCTTGCTCTGAAAGGGCAGAACTAAGTGCATTACAGACACCTTCTGCACTGGAGTAGAGAGGCAATCAGGTTTGTTTTCTGGACTAAGGAAACACATTTATGTCGCTTCATGTAAATAAACGTGTATTAAAGGTCCAGTATGTACATATTAAAAGGATCTAAATGGATTTATTTAGTGTATAATCACCTGAAAATAGGAATAGTTGTGTTTGCATTACCTTGGATGGAGACATTTTATCTGCAGACACTGTGGAGGATTTTTCTACAGTAGCCCAAAATGGACAAACAATATACTGGCTCAAGGTTTTTCTCACGTTTCGTAACCATATTTTCTTCCTCCTGGTGAAGGAAGTGAGTTGCAATCTGCAACTATACTGCTAGATGCCACTAAATCCTACACTAACTGGATTCTAGAAATATGTTATTGTTAATGTTATATGTAACACCTATGCTTTTGTGACTAAAATGAGTCAAAATGTCTGCTGTGGTCACCTAAAAAAACATTAAAATTGTAAGAAATACGTTCGAAAAAAAAGTAAGATCATAAAACTGATGCTCCATAAACAACAATAAACCTTATGAAGAAAAAGTCTTCATCATGCCGAGGGTGGGCTTATGTGATAGAGCTAGATTTCCATTTGTTTGTTTTGAGTTCATACAGCATGTTAGGCTTGTAAGTGGAATCAGAAACAAGGCCAGTGTGTACTCCCTCCACGCCTCCTCACACACTCTGTATTTTTAGCCAGGAAGCCCCAGATAGCACGCCAACCACCCTTCTTGAACTCAATGCATTTTAAGCAGACTTATATTAGGTTTAACTTGTGCTGACTGAGTAAGCACGCTGCGCCATAAGGCAGCAGCAATTTAGTGCTCCGGTCCTCTCTCTGATATTCCTGTCGTCTCCTAAACTCCGTCCTCTTTAATGCGTCACACAGCAACTCTTCAGTGTTCCCGTTTTCTCCTTATTTCCCACCCAAACACTCAAAATAGTGCCAGAGAGCGCCTCAGAGTGCCCTGTATTTGCTGCTCCTAACTCCATAGTTGTCAAGGTGGGATAATATTTGTCACATGATATTTAATGTCAAAAAGCCGAAAGCGCAGATCCAAACTTGTCTAAGCTCCCTCATGCAACATCCATGTCTAGAGCCAGAGGCTTTCTGTTCATACACGTGTAATTTATAATGGGGGTTTCCTGTACCTGTGCCTAGTGCCTGTGTTCTCCAAAAACTGTCAGCAGAGAAGCTGAATCTAATCTTTGCTTTTGATGGAAGAGCTCTGGCTATGTGACGTAAAAATTGATTAGTTGTTTTAACAAACCTTTATTGCCTTGGCGCACTGCCAAATTGCCAGCTCGGAGGAGGGAATAGCTTTCACGTCAATAGGTTCTCCAAAGTCCACAGTAAATCAGAATAGTGTTAAAAGTAATGTGAGGCCCGCTGTCTAGAGGGTTGAGCTGAAAGCACTGTGAGTTTGGTGCTAATTTAATATGTACCCAAATTAAGGCGACACCTAATGATGACCCTTTGTGGTCAAGTGTGTATTAAAGTTATAGCATGCTGCTTTTACGGTTTAGTTACTCATTATTCATTTATTCATGGATTCATTCGTTTATTCATAGACTCCAGAGATCTTTAGGATGCTTGGCAGTGTTTATGCATGAAAAACCTCAACCAGGATCAGTCCAACACATTTCTGAAGGAACTTTTGCATCTGAGTTCACACTCAGTTCATTCTGCTGTCTCATCAATTCAACTTTTTTTTTTTGCTCGTAGCAATGAATCGATTATCAACTAACCCAGCGTTTCAGCTCTAGATACTGTAGTTTCAGTTTGATGGTTTTGAGATATTCTCCTCAAACTCTTCCTCAATACGATGGAGGGAAAGGAATTTAACTCATGTAGCTCAAAACAGACAGAAAAACTCAACAGCAGCATGGTTTTCTCTGGTCTTTCTCTAATTTGCACACCTTGTTATTAACAGTTTTTATTACATTTCACTAGTAGAAAGTACAGTGGCTCTAAAGAAAACTGTTGACAGGGAAATCTGGACTGTTTAGTGTAACCAGGTCTTTTTTTCTGGAAAGAAACGCTATAAATGTCAAATTTTTAAGGCTGTTAGCACCAAAAACGTCATCATCATCATCATCATCATATAGAGGTGGCGGCTTTAATTTCGGAGACTGATATCTGACAACATGAGCAAATAAAACCTAAAGCTATATGCATGACTAGAGGTGAAAAAGTATGTCCTTTTGTTTGCTCGCTCTTTAAGTTAGTGTAAATGTTGCCCTTGGCGACTGCTTTCAGCCAGTGTAGTTGGAAGCATTTTCCTGTTCCATAAGAAGAAGTAATTTACAGCACTGTCACTGGCTCTTACTCAGTATGAAAAACTTTCACTGTTGTGAAAATTGCTGGAGCTATAATCCATCACAGTAACCACCACGCCTTGATTCGGTTTTGTCAAAAGTTTCAGTTTTATTGCCGTTTCATCCTGCTCCAGTAGAGTGTTTTCATATCAGCGCTCACACTACTTCAGTGTCAATCACCTCACACCCACGGGGCGAAATGAAGTGTCTGCCAGGAAATAATCCCTCAAAAACATATCGCCTTACAAACATGATTGTTACATTGATGTCTTCTTATTCAGAGACTTTTGCCCGGTCAGTGGTTCATTTCACGCTAGATCTGAGACAGCAGAGATGGTATTTCAAAACCAGTGAAAAATAAGTCAGTGTTAGAAGAATAAAAAGTGTGAGCTATCTGTAGACAGTAGCACACAGTGACTACTATATTTTTCCTTTAATCTAGGTGATTCTGTGCCACCCTAATGCATATGAGCTGTAAGTGTTTTCATTGTGGTTCTCTCCCCTTTAGGGACCGCTCTGGTGGTGCAATGGGATCATGTCCACCTCCAGGATAACTACAACCTGGGAAGCTTCACCTTCCAGGCAACACTGCACAACACCGGCAGGATTGTTTTTGCATATAAAGAGGTCAGGACTCATTTATCAAACCAGTTTTTCCTATTTTATCTTCAGTATCTGATTTACTAAGACAGTGATCTTATGTCTAATCTTTATACTCTTTCTGACACAATTTATCTGTTTTTTATTGTCTATTAAACTACGCCTAACCATAAAAAGTCAGCTCCAAAGTGCTGCAGCTGGATTTCATGTACAAAAAAGTTATAAAATAAAGAAAACAGACATGAGCAATGTTCACAATCAGATCTTCAGACCTTCATTGTCGACAGCAAAATTCATAAATCACTGACATTTACTGTAACACTGGAGAAATCAGATTAAACACTAATTAAGTAATCCATCTTGCCTTATTTTCCAGGCTTTTGAGACAGACTAACCCTAACTAAGTAACTGATCTATGATAATTGCGACTATTATAAAAGCAGAGCGGCTTCTTTTATGACTGATGCCTCCTTTTTTAATTTGTTATTTTTCACATAATAGAAGCTATTAGACTTGTTTCTAATAGGTATCTCATTATGCTGCTATTACCGGTCTGAAAAAAGTAACCTGACCTCTGTTCTCATTTACCTTTAAGAATTTATCCCTGTACTTTTGTCTAGTTTAACTCATTTCTTGATGTGTTGTGTGAAATCAAAATACCTGATTTAAAATGTAACTTGCATTGGACCATAAACGTCAGGGTCTCTCTCTCTGACTGATATAAGTCAGGTCTCAGTTGAGTTGTTTCTCATTTTAAATGTTTATTCTCTGCACCGAAGATAGCCATATGCTTATTGAGGTTGCATAATGCCTCAGCAGATTTCCTATGGGAGATAGTAATAAATTGGTTGAATTGTCAATGCTGACGGGCCCGGTCTGTCCCACTCACATTGTTGTGTTTCTGGTAATTGATTTTCCCTGTCTTCTATTTCAGATCCCGATTGAGGTGTCACAGATCAGCTCTGTCAATCACCCGGTGAAGGTGGGTCTGTCTGATGCCTTTGTGGTGGTCCACAAGATCCAACAGATACCCAGTGAGTAAAAACACAGCTTTCGAGCTTACATTTGCTCACTTTTACACAGAAAGAAACAAATTAATAACTTTTTTTTAATATAGAAAATAATGAATGATTGAACCATGCCACTAAGCCCTTGCCCTCAACAGCAACTGTCCAATCATAGCAAGTGTATCTTCAGCATTTGACACCTGACAAAGATCTCCGTTAGATCAAAACATAGCTCAATAGAATAGCTGCAAGCTATTAGTACAGTGTGTGGATCTTTTGTCTGGTTCTTTTGCCTTTGATCCAACACCTGTCAAAGGTTTTTGGATGTGTTTGTACCCTCCGCTCCATTTGTCTTTGGTGTCTTTTTGAGCAAAATTGGAAGAAATAGGTTAAACAGTGTGTTTATTTCTGATAAATGCTAAACATTTGCATGGATTGGGGAAGCTCACGCACAAGAAAACTCCAGCCAAACTCGTTACTCGAGGTGCCAAACATTTTTGGATTGTCCTCATCTTAAAAGTGAAACAATGTGGTTTGAAAATACAAACAATAATGCATAAGTCTGACCTTCAAAGCTGCTTTTCTACTTTACATGAATCACCAACTGGAGAAGATACTAATTAGAACATGTAGCTTTAGCCTCAGTCTTGCAGCATATGTGGATACTAAAATAAAATACACACCCTATAGCCACAGTCTGTTCGCTGCACCACTACCCTACTACACTACCCTACAAAGGCAAACCGCAGTAACTACAGTTCTGGTCGAATTTGAGTTATGACTGAAATGGAGCTTTTAAATGTTTTATCTTACAAAATCCAACCAAAAACCAAACCAAGATACAGATTTAATGTAATAAGACATCAAATTAGATTTAGATTTTTCTCAGGAAGAAGACACTAAAACTGAAGCTAATGCACTCTGTCTTTGAATCTGTTTATGGTAATAAAAAGTAAAGTAACTGCATTTTTTCAAGCATAGGTCAAATACATGGTCATTGTTTTTAAGCCATGAAAATTACTTAGAGAATCAATATTTAACCTACCTAAAACGCATTTGGCTGGCAGTCAAAAAAGTGTAGTTACTGCTTTGGAGAGCGGCTTCTTTCCTCAGAATGTGGGAATATATTTATTTTTATGACTTATATATTCATCCATTTAAATATTTCATGTTTTGTGAGTTGCACAAAGGGTTTACAACTTGCATTTTGTTATTCAACCCTGTGTTGTGAAATGAGTAATGAATACATTTTGTATTTAGGACCCTTTGGACCCTTTTAGCTCATATTAGCTGCTAATGACATTCAACATTTCAACCGATTCTGTGTGGAATCAATGAATTATTAAGAATTAGCACTGTTGTCAGGGTAACCGCATTCTAGAATGCAAAGCTTAACGGGCATAGCAACAGTAAATAAGGAGGGGCGAACTTAGCAGAGGGTCATTAATGCAGAGTGCATTGTTTCCTCAGCTTTTAATTTACCCTTTAAACTGTGTGTCGTAGCTCTGGGTTCAGTCTTGTCTGTTTTGCTTTAGCTCCAACTGTCACCACCTCTTCTCCAGCGCCGTTCCACCTCTCTCAGTGGGCAGCGGGCAGAGCGGTGGGCACGGCTCCAGATCTGCCTCTCCCACTTGCTTTTGAGTTATACAATTTAGGCCCATTAAATTTAAAGCAAATGTGAGCAAAGGGGAGAGACTTCAAACCATTTCATCCACAGTCAGACTCTCTCTCTCTCTCTCTCTCTCCCTGTCTCTCCCATGGGCTCTGATTCAAAGTCGGCCACAATAACGAGTTGTCAAACATGATTTATTCAGTAATTTAAACTCTGTTTTGATTGCGTGTCTGAAACTTGGATTGCATTTATTTCAAAGTTAATAACTTATAACTTAAATTCCAGTGCGTATGTCCTTCACTTGGCATCTTTATGTTGAGTTTGACGGGGGGAGGCAATGTTGCGAGAATTACTTTTCAAAGTCTGTTTGAAGAGTAAAACAACTCTCCGAAACACCAGATCCTTGGAGTGATTTTCTGACATGGACTTTTGTCTCATCTGAAGTCATTTCCTACAAAATCTCTTTCTAGAAGGTTGTAGTTGGCACTGAGTGATTTGTATATTGAACCTGTTAGCATAGTCCTCCTAGACTTCATAAACCAAGCTGTCTTTGATGCCCTTGACACAGCATGATGAAACCAGCGTGTGCAGCTTCTCGGTTATGGAGTGATGAAATCTTGAATGGAAGCAGACCGAGACCGAGGCGTTGTGTTGAACATGAACGATGTCTCTGAGGAGTATGCGTTTTCTTCCTTATGCCAGACCTGTTTTTCCACTCTGATCATCTGAAACTACCACTGTGCTTTTTTTCAGCCTCTCAAGAAACCCGAATGTTTTAATACACCTCATTTTTGGGGAGAGATAAAACAGCCAAAACTGAATTCCTACAGATGCAAACAACTAAATGCAACAGCTGTCTCGTCCTCATTGACATATATTACATGAAATCCAAGCGATGTGGCAACATCTGAGACATTGCTTGGTTACTGACCCTTTGACCCCCCTTTGGTTACTGTAGCTATGCCCGTCACAACATTCCATTCTAGAATGAAGTTTACCATGGCAACAGCAGCTGATTTACTCACTCGGAATTCTTCTAGTTAAATGAGAAGAAGTGAACAGCACCTTCTTTTTAGCCGTTCTAGTCGTTTGATTTTATCAGCTGAAATGCCAAATGTCACTAACAGGTTTTATTGGCGTATGTAAGCTAAATAACGCTATACCCTGTGAGTTGATTGAAAATTACTCTGATTGAAATTTGTAGTAACTTTTGGCTCAAACAAAGTCACAATTTTAGCCAGAGACCGTCAATTCTGACAACTCAAATGACAACTGTCTAACTAATTAAGCTTGTAAAGTCTTGTAAATGGCATCTTAAATATGCATTTGGTGGCTACATGATGCAGTCCTAAAAGACTGAAGCTAAAGCTAACATGCCCCAGACTATAAAGAAATAAAGAACAAAGAAACAAAATGAGTAAGGAGTAAGAGCAGACTGTTATTTTATTCATACTTGTTTATATTTTCAAACATCATATTTTCACTTTTAGCGTTACAAGACAAAAGGCTGTTGAGGACTACCCGCTGTGTTCGGCAAACGCAACGCTATCTCGGGGAACATTGGCTGTGGTTGCTGGAGTTTTAGGTTCCCAGCTAATGATAGATCAGACAAACACACAGTTTAATTCATTCCCTAAATTTATGCTCTAGGCTTTTGGTTTTGGGAAGGCAAATCAACCCCCCCTCCAAACTCTTTAAATGCACACTATCTATCTTACTAAAGGCCCCGTGCACACTGCTCCAACATGTGGAGAAATCAATATCTTAACCGGCCTGCCTTGCCTAGTGATTACTACAGTAAGTTATGATTAGACAATTGCTGTTCAGTGGAGGGTTTTTTGATGAATAATCAATCGCTAAGACTGCCTTCAGTTGCCGTGAACAAAATCAAACTCTTGCCACAGCTGAAACAAACAAGGCTTTGTTTTCTTGCTGTGCAACGAGCACATGATATTTGCAAAGTGCACAGGTTCACGTTCACGTCTGAAGGAAAAGGGCAGTATTTGCATCCTGCACCTGTCAGTCTAAAGGGTTTGACGTGCCCAGCGAGCTGTACGACGAGAGTCTGCGGAGACTGCAAAGGATGCAACATCTAAGATCACAGGTTCTTATAGTAATAGTCCTTATACTGATGCAAATTAATAGGAAACTATTCATTGATGGACCGGGACTAACCTTTAGAAAAAGCAAGAATCAGCAGTTGTATTGGAGATATAGTACTTCATTTATCCACAGGTATTTAGTCCTTCTTTGCAGCATGGTCAAGTTACCTTTTTCTTGCACGACTATACTCAGTAGACATATAGGTTGAAAAAGATACTGCTGAGAAGACTAGTAGACTTTCTAGTACAGAAATGTTATTATTTATATTTATATATTTATATATATATATATATATTATTTATCTGGAAAAAGTGAAGGCTGTGCTTTGGATCTGTCTTTATCTGCTTCACATCTCATTTAAGGGCTATAAACTTCCTGAAGGAAAAATATTTTGACATGTTTATTATCATCTATCAGGGCAGTCATGCCAGACTAAATAATACATGGCTACTGATAGCTGGTATGTTAAGTTTCCATGTCCCAAGAACATTAAGCCTTAATATTACCAGAGAAAAAAAGCCATTACCACTGCAGGCTGTACCACGAAAAAGGGTTTCAACTCAGTTAATTGTCTCTGCAGCCAATTACTGCACGGCAACCATGGCAACAAGAGGGACATTTTTTAACTGACTGTAGCTTTGCCCTGGATTAAAAGCTCAAATAAAGCATTTTACACTGCCTCCAGGCAGAGGCCAACAGCCCATCCAGTAAAAGAAAAAGATGAGAGAGAAGATTTGTGGGTGTCCTGTGGCCACAGTGTGTAATTAACAGGTCAGGTACGAGCACATGTGAAGACCCAGGCTTTATTTTATACTTTCTCAGAGCTAGATTAAGCATCATCAGTCAGAGCGAGTTATTCTTAAAATCCATATGTATCTTCTTGTCTGTACTTGGATTCCTAGTGGGAAGAGCTATTCATTATAAACAGTATACGGCTGTCATTCTAAGTTGTGATAAATATTTTGGAGATATTAATGAGCCAGGAGTGTAATCATGAGGTTAAAGTGGTCGATTGAAGACGTAATATTTTGTACAGCCAGTGTGCTGTCTGATGAGCAGACACAGAGAGCCTGCCACTTCACCATCGATCTTCAACTCACTGTCTTGACATCACATTTCTATTGATTTCCATGTAGTTCGTCCAGATGGGTGAATAAGCAATAAGAGTGACTACTATAGTGATTTTATTTTGTTTTTTTTAGCTTAAGATAGTGACAATATGTGCAAGAGTATTAACTTTTCTGGATTTGTATGTATGGGTTAACTGACCCTTTAACTTATCACACTTTTGCAAATCCGCCTTTGTTTGATAGTATCAGTGGAAGGTAGCTAAATCCTCATTAGGTCTTGTTTATGTTGTGGCTGAGACCAAGCTATAATTGACCTGATTTGCGGCTTCCTTCCACCTGCAAACCAGAGGCCAACGAGGCTGCACAGCCTGCCCACACATCAGCAGCCTCGGGCTGGGGAACTGACCTTCCTCTGGCCCCCACCGTGTCATTAGGCACCTGATAATCCTTTTGCTAGAAGCGAGAGGAAGTCAGGCACCAGGGGACGAGAGGGGGGGGGAGGAAGGGTGGTCTTACTCTCAGGTTAAACCGAGTTGGCTCACATTTGGTGCTTTGATCAGTTGTCTTGTGTGTAATCAAACCAAGCAGGTCTGCAGGCAAACAACATCCTGTCACATGAGAAGAACAACACTGTAAACCAGCACAGTCAACAACTCCCAGATCAAAAATCAATCAACCAAATAAAAGAAAGTAACAGTAAATAGTGTTAAATGAATGTTTTTACATTTTAGAAAACACTCTTATTTGCATCCTTATGGGTTCAAGTGGAAACAAGTTATGAACATCCAGACATATTATCATCTTTTAAACTACTTTGTTTGCTTATTTACTCCATTTACTTAACAGTTACGGCGCAACATTAGCACTCATTTGGAGTCATATTTCTTGAACCTGATAAATGTAAGCCCAATATTCACTCTTTGCTTTTGGTCTCCACCAAATCCTGAGTGAAAATATCTGGCTCTTTATGTTCACCAGCTAGTCTGCCTGCTGTCAGTCTGCCTGACAGGCAGTGTACGGTTGTTTTTTAGGGGCCTTTTCTCTGAAAACAGCTGCCAGCGGTGCCTGAAAATGACTCTATGTGAGCTCTGAGAGTGAACAAAATCACACTAAACACTAAACAATGAACTGAAACTTGCTATAACGTTAAGGAGCTGCAGATTCAGGTGGTAATTGTCTGTGAGTTCATCACTGAGAGCAACCCTTTTCACATTGTTATGTGATATATTACTATCGAAATATCCTCTTGAACAAGAAAGTCAAGGTTTAACTAGGGGAGAAGATGGTTATTGCTGTTAAGTATGTCCTAGTATGAAGCTACAGCCAGGAGATGGTTAGCTTAGCACAAATCCTTCTGTAAAACCACAGTTTTTTTTTTCACCAAACAAATATGTAACAATAATTAGTGAGCTTTAGACGCACTGATGCAGATTATTTTACCTTTGGACACTGTCTCCTGACTGTAGCTTCATATTTAATGGATACATCAGAATCTTATTAATAGGCTTATTTCCCAAAATGTCAAACTATTCCTTTAACTTTGAAAGAGTTTCAGCATTATTACAATACTATATGATGGATGAGACTCGCAAGTCACTGCTCGCTGTATATGTTACACAGCCATAGTCTGCTGTATTGAATTTCAATTTTGTAGCTCATTGCTCAAGCAAATACAAGTGTTATAGGAAATGTCATGTAGTGAGCAATGCGACGATGCGCGTTTCAGTGCATATCAGTGATTTATTCTCCAGATTTACCGTTTCATTCCTGGAACGCCTGCATGAAAAAGTCTTATAACATTCCAATTAGGTTTTAGATTAACCACTATATTAACAGCACCAAGGAGTTATTATGAGATCTCTTAAGACACTGCACACGAAAAGAACCTTTTTGACTTTAACAAAGGATGTAATTTATCCTCCTCTTTTCCATTTCCACTGATGATAGTGAAGATGCATGGCCAGCAAAAGCAAGCAGCCCATTTTTCACTGACCCATATGAGTTATAAGGGCCAGAATGCAATGAGAGTCAATGATCTATCTAATCAATAGCTCCATCTTTTCCCTGGCTGATGACTTGCTGTTACAGATGACTGGGAAGGCAGCCTTTCAACAGGGTCTGATTGATATCGGCTCCCAGGGGAAATTGCTACCGTCCATTGCCAAGTTGTGGGGCTGACACTTGGGCACAAAGAGAGGGGGAGAAATAAAGTGCTGTGGTAGCATCCCTTATGACCTGATTCTGCCTCCCGCTCTCTTTCCTCTTTCTTCAGGGACCACTTGTCCCAGTTTTTATCTCTGTGTGGAAGATTTGTGATGGTGTGTTCGCTCCCTCACTCTGTCTCCTCTTTCTCCAAAATATAGACGTGAGGCGGAGGACGATCTACGAGTACCACCGCGTGGAGCTGACGAAGACAAAGATCACTAATTCTACAGCCGTGGAAATGATGCCTTTACCCAGTAAGAAGGATTTATTGTAACAGCTTTTGGCCCACTCAGGGTCGGCTCCTGGGCGAGTGTTATTAGATTGTTATTGAGACTCCTTCTTATTACATGGCGTGTAGACCTTTTCCTTGGCTGTGTGTCCATTAGGCTATTGATTGTATAAATTGTTTTAGATTTGACCAGTTTTTTTCCATTCCTCCTCTCCAGCTTGTCTCCAGTTCACCAGCTGTAGCTCGTGCATCTCCTCACAGATCAACTTCAACTGTAGCTGGTGCCACCGGCTCAACAGGTTGGACACTTTTACTCTCATTTCACTCCTCTCCTTCCAACACATTCCCACTAAGGCTGCAACTGACATGAAATGTCAAAACATTGTAAAAAAAATGTCCGTCACAGTTTCCCAGAGCCTAACGGGACGTCTTCAAACGGCTGACAAACTGTCCAAAAACTAAAGATATTCAGTTTGCAGATATATAAAACGGAGAAATGTAGCAGATGGAATCACAGAATAGTTTGGCAATTTTGCCTGAAACTGTTAATTAATCATCAGAATAGTTGCCAATCATTTTTCTTTTGGTCAAGTAATAAATTAATCAACAAGTCGTTTTAACTCTAAATTCACCCTCATATTTCAGAAGCTGGAACTGATACATTTTTAGCATTTGTTCTTAAAAAATTACAGTAAGCAATTGATTAGCTATTGTTGTGCAGATTGATCTTCCATTGATTGACAAACGCAAAGTGTTTTATCACTAAATCTCACCCCCATTAACCCTCACTGTAAGCAATCTAAGAACAACTGCATTTTTAAAGAGGTCTATAAAAGTTGGATCTGAAAATACCACATTTTTCTTACTGAGTGGATGTTTAGGTAAATTGTACATATAAATTCTTTATATAAAGAAATATTTCAAGAATTAAGTCCATACAATATTTGGTTAGTAGCAGAGCACAACCTTTATCAAGCAATGTGTATTTTGGTGATTCCATCCCTTTCAATGTATTTATTAACATTTAAACTCGGATGACAAGTTTATGGAAAATACAGTACAGGTTTAAGGCTCACACTGAACTGTGCAGCAAGAGTTGGATTCAGTAAATAATGTGGCTCAAGCTGCTCGTCTTCTATTGAAAGATCAGCTGAATCAAGCTGAAATACTTTGTGTTTATTAGAGTTACAAGTATAGAAGCTCATTTTGTTGTATGTAGGCTTCATTATCTTAAAAACACACTTGTGCCAACCAGTCACCACGAGCTGTCACCGTGATGTGCACCAGAACAGAAATGTTCAGCATTAACACTTTGATGTTAGAATAACTTAATTTGGTCGATGTTAAATTTATGGCCTGCGGTTTTTGCATATTTGAATCACCCATCTGGAGTACACACAGCTGTCTACACTATCTCTGTTACCATTTCAGTTAGTATCCTATTCAATAAATGAGAATGTAGTTCTATCATTTAGACGAGACAGTAACTCATTTTAACATTCATACAACTCACACCTGTTCTGTCAACCTCTGCTCTTCTTTTTATCTTATCCTCCCCGTCTCCGCTGCACTTCAAACAAAAGTAAATATTTGAGCTGCTAAAAGAAAGTGTTAGTGTTCCTCCCTAGAATTTCCTGACGGCTGAAATATGAGCTGGTGGGTTTTGTTTTGCTGGATGGAAAAAGTTTGAGTTAAATAGACAGAGGGGATAAATAAATGATGGGGAGACAGAGTTGTGTTATCATCCATAGACTGAAAGTTCAGAAACTTTCAACTTGAGAGTCAGAAGATGTTTACTGTCCTGATAAATGTGTAGCCTGAATATGCAGAAAATGTATTTGGAGGTTGTTGTTGGGGTTCATTCAGTCTGACTCGGGGCAGCCGCCATCTCTTCTCTCTTGTATGCTGCTGCACTTTGAATGCCTCCAGCATCAAATATTAATCTTCCACTCCTTTATTTTGCACTCATCATTTATTCTGTGAGTAATGTGGTTGACTGAAGAAATGTGCAGCACTTCTGCTCTGCCCGTTGACATTTGTTATTTAGGACTTACGTGGAGTTTTGAATTTGACTTTTCATCTGCTCTGCATCCTAAATTCTCCTTTCTTTGACGGAGACAAACTAATTTACAGTGCAACGACTTGAAGAAGTGTTTTTCCTCTCATTTATGGACGGCGTGGAGAGATACTGTACGCCTGTAGCAGTGATCTCATTAAGCTGCGTTTTAATTAGCTTTCTAACTGTGTTGATATCTGACTGTTCAGCCTTATTCTGCCCTTTGTATCCTTCAGCCACTTCCTTTGAAAGAGGCAAACATGCTTTAAACACGTGCTAATTAAAAACCGTGGCGCCCTCGTTGGCTTCGGGGTTAATGAAAGGCGCTGACATTATAGAGAACAACCCTAATGAACTTTTCTTACAGTGAAGTGCTGGGAAGGTGAGCGCCTCTCTCTCATGCTAAGTTCTGAACTAAATCCCTTTGTTGTGGCTGGTGTGTGCAGCCGGTGCTGAAGCAGGTTAATAAACCATGACAGAAGTCCCAGTGGACCCTCAGTGGTGCCTGTGTAGCTGTACGTTGATGTGTTTAGAGGACTTTCGGGGATTTGTTTACCCTGAAAAGCTGGTGAGCATCACAAATGCAGCTCATATAAAATTAATGTCTGTTCAGGAAACAAATATTGAGTTTTAATATGTCTTTGTCTCCCAGGAAGTTGTTAATGCATCCTGTTATGTTGAGAAACTGCGTACTCGCAGGCTCGCCATTCTTTTTGAGCTGTCAATGAACTGCTAAACAATCAGGGATGGAAGAAGTATTCACTTCCTTTACTTAAAGCACCCACAAGGAACTTTTATTTCGTGTTGATTCTGGCACTGTGGGCAGAAGCCGGTAGTGTTTCCACTGCCTCATTTAATTGAATCCAAACTGGTGGCAAACTTTAAGAGTATCTATATTGAAACAGTTAATCTTGATGAAAACCCAGTAATGAAATCTATCCATCCTGCTGTGAATGACGGAAACCTGAAGAGAAGTATTCCCTTTTGCGGGTTAATTTATATTCAAATGAACCACCTCCACCCATTTGTAATTAGAAGCATTGTGGCTCCCTGTGCTAGATGGAAACTAGCTGAGATGGATGCCATTGAGAAGAAACAAAACATAAGCTCCCCAGAGGGACAGGTTGGACCAGACCTGCTCGGTAATGTTGTGTCTCGTTTTGCTTCCCTCTCCTCCCCTCTCCGGGGTGAAAGCAGTCGGGGAAAAGTGGGGGATTAAGCAGAGGAATCTGTCTCGCCTGATTGAACAGATGAGGTAGAATTTTTTTTTTTTGGTGGAAGGGGGAAATAGAAAGGAATGGGATGATTAGAGAGGTAGAGAGATGAAAATGGACTCCTTCACATAAAGCCATTAACATAACAATATGTTCACCAGAGAGATGGGGCCTGCCGGGGATGTCTAACACTCTACGGGACTCATATTGTCCTCGCTGCACAAAGCACAGATACCATTACTGGTGCTTTTCCGTGCTGTGAGTCGGTCATAGGTTGTTTTCATTCATGTGCTTTTTTCTATACATCTACCACCTGAAGTGACAATTTGCAGGCTGCCAAAGTGTTTCACTTATTGGACATGACAAAGTGTGAGTGGGTTTACTGATTTGCATACTAACTTTTCCTTCCAGACTCGGTGCTGTTTGCGGCCTAGACAGAGTGATGGCGAGTTCACCAGTGGGCGAGTTATATTTTGATCCATTTACAGCATGAAGGATTAGTTGCTGCCGCCTCGATTACTGTCTGCCTTTTGAGGTTATTAGAAGTCTTGGACTGGATACAAAGTCTACTTAACAGCACCCTTATCCCAAGGCCCCATGACCCATTGAACTTCCCCCTCACAGATCCTCCGTCTTCATACTGTACAAAGCCGCTCCCTCCTTGAGTCCAGACCTCAGGGGGAGGCAGGGAGTGGGAGGTGCAGATGTTTGATTCAGAGTTCAAAAAGATTAAAGGTCCAGTGTGTAATATAATATGTAGGAAGATATATTGGAATAAATGGAATAGGTTTTCATCAGTGTGTAATTACCCTAGATTGAGTCGTTGGGTTGCCTTTCACAGTGCACCATTTTCTACAGTAGTCAAGAATGACCGAACCAAACTGGCTTTAGAAAGGTTTTTTTTGTGAGTTTCTTAGGGTCAGGGTTATTAGATTAAAGGCAAAAATTATCAAAAAAAATAAACAGAATATGTCTTATGTATATACGCCCCCAAGTTCATCGCAACTGAGGAAAAGAGATGCACTTTTATATAGAAATACTCAACTTGCTATATATTTGGCATATCCCAGAGATAACTAAACAATTAACACAAAAAATCTGTGTCTTGAAACACCCTGAAGAAACCCTGCATTATAAATTGTGATGAAGTTTAACTTGCAAGAAGCATTGAAAGAAGAATTGGTCTAAGGAAGTCTAAAGAAGAACTGGTATTATGGGCAATTTACATAGATCTCCAGCCCATATTTGGGACTAAAAGTGCTCCTTTTAATATGTCTCTTACCACTTATTTATTAAATATACAGAAGATTCACCTGATATTTGTCCCCAATGCCTTCAGATGTTCCAGTGGCTTCGACCGCCATCGGCAGGACTGGGTGGACAACAGCTGTCCAGATGAGGTACGCAGTCAAGATAAAGACTAATAGTGATCAGATGTGACTTGAATCTGTCTGATACTAATTTAGAATGTTCAGCGTCTTGCTTTTTGAATGGCGAAACACATGTGTGTGAGTGCGTTTGGAGCCGCCCAGATGGTGAATGAATGCATTTCTTTTTGAGAGACTGCACACAGCAATGACGGCGTTTCTCATCTTCTTAGACCAAGGATAAGTTGTGTGACATCATCGACACCACGTATCTCTACCCGTTCACCACCACGATCGTCGCCAAAACAACATCCAGAAGCAAAGAGGCCACTGCCGGCAGGGACACACCCTCCACCTCCCACCCTCCCACCAGCGTCCCCACTGAAGGTAAAGTAGAAAACAGAGATCTGGAACGAGGCCACGGTGCAAGTTGTGTTGGAGCCCAGAGCTCTCTCTAAAATAGTGATGGATGCTCTGTTCTGGCAGGATGTTAAATGAAGTGCATTTGCTGGAACTGTTCTTTATTGGTATTGATGTGTTTCTTTTTTTTTTTTTACAACATAAACAAGACACTGCTCTCTTTTGGAGATAAATAAATGATATGTAATGTAGCTCTCCACTTAAGCAAAAAAAGAATTAACTCCAGATGGAGGCAGTGGAGCAAGACGCAGCAGCTGTGTTTGTAACAACTTTTAAACAATGTGGATTGAATTAGAACAAATCTTACCAGTCCAAAAGAGATGCACCGACACAATCCTGTGATCACGACGTTGGCTCGCCATCAATCTTTGTTCCTCAAAACTTTTTCTGACGACAGATCGGTTGACGTATCAAAAGTATTCTCCTTCTGTTATTATTAATTTTTCAGGTTAATTATAAAGCAGTGACTTGCAGTATTTGACTTTGAGGGCGAATGAAGGCCACTTTTCATTTTTGAAGGCTGAACGTTAAATAGGAAATTAGATTGTGTGCTGCCTTTTGTCACAGTAAGTAGAAAGTGACTTAACAATCATTTTGGAGTTTGTGAAATTAACTCGATCTGTTTCAGATATTGAGGCTTTCTGAAAGCTGTTATTATTACCTGTATTCTCTCTCTCTCCCGCTCTCTTTCAAGGTCTCATTTTACATTTGAGGGCTCTTTCTTGTCGGGTCCCATGATTGTGACTTCTTAGAGATAAAGAGAAAACAGTGAACAGAGGCAAAATTAAATTACATTTTGGTTAAACAGACGATGGAGAGAAAGGGAACATTCTCAGGTTATTTTGAATATTTCCCATGAAGCCACAAAGGCAATGTACAGATAAATAGAGCCATGTATATAATATGTGTTTGGTTAGATATGAATATTCCTGTACGGAATACGGCTAATATACTGTGTTTGTGACACATTAGCATCTAAGAGTTGTAGATGTCGTAGCTAGCTTGGAAAGTTAAGTACTTAAATTCTGCTAAATCAACAATCACTAAACAGCTATAATAAGAAGAGTAACTACAGATGATACTAAAGTAAGCACATTTGAGTAGTGAATAAAAGATGTCTTAGCTCGCTTTGCATGTTTGCACATACAATATTTATGATTATATTAGGATATAGTGGTCTTTTTTATTATATATAAATCCCAAAATGTGAAATATTCAGTCAAAATATGTTTTAAATATGACATTTACTGTAGATAAGTATTCAAAGATAAAATCTGTCAGTATTAATGTGCTTCAGTTGATCTTCTCTCACTCATAGTATTCCCGGCAAAGTTGGAGGGGGGTCGTGCTCCTTTGATATTGCAGCGTAAAGTATTGAGCACACGATTCACTGAACCCCAGCGGGAGACTAACTCAAACCATACTGCAGCATAATCTCCCGAGTTATCTAATGCAAATCGTCTTTCATAGGAAAACAACCAAGGTGTCCTTTAAAGTTTGTTTGCTTAATTTTTTTATTTTTTTCATTGTCTCTAGAGATGCAAGAGTTACGAGTCGGCTGAATTTATTGAGCCAATTTTCAGCTCATTCCCCTTTTTTATGGGTTTGAGCAATTTATTTAAGTAAACGGGCAATTAATCTTAATCTGCTCCAGATGTGGTGTTGGATCGAAGTGATAGGAAGGAGCCACTCACCTAACTGACATCAGTTTAAAGTGTGTGTTTATAATCAAAAGCACACACACACACACACACACACTGTACTGTATGTATCCTGCCTTGTGTTAATTGTATGTGAAGTCTGGGACACACAATGAGCACATTGAGCCAATCATTTCAGACATCCACTCTTATCCTTGTGATAAATTAATTTACTGAATCCTTTTAAGAACATGGTGACCCCTCCATAGAGTAGGTGAGCCTCTGAAGGACACAGCTTAAACTGTGTATCTGACTCATACTCAGAAAACCTTTATTGTGCATGAGAAATTTGTCTTTGACACGACTTACAAGGTACATTTTGGTGTATGGCTGTAAAAGCAAAATGCAAAGATATGTGCCAGTGTTAGGGTAGAGTGTCCTTCATTGCTTATAGATATACAGATAACGTCAGTGTTATTATGTTTGTCAGCTAATCTCACAGAAAGACAATGTGTTAGTCGGTCTCTTAATACTTTCTGACTCTCCTATCATTGTCTGTGGCTCCCAGCGCTCAAGCCCATTCATCCCAACTGAAGGTCATAAATATATGCTTTCATTTTTAGAGGCTCAGTTATAGTTTTTTAGTAAATATTGGGCACTGTGTTTGCACTGCAGTACTACGTTTTCCTCCTGTTCTCCTGTAATCCCTCCTTTGTAACTGAGTTTTGAAATCTTAAAGATAGGATTTTTTAGGAGACTAAATAACTTGCGATGGACTCTTTTTTTTGTGTAAGTCTGCAGCGTATGCAGTGTTATTTCACTCTGCTATCTTGGAAAATTTTATTTTTTTTATGGCTTTCTACATTCAAGCCTGGGTTATCCATTATTTCATTCTCACAAAAAAAGGCATTTACTTTTTCAGTAGCCGACCTTTTCTCCCATCGCACCCCCATTAATCATTTTGTGGGGGCTGAGTTTAAATGGACACTCGGTTCGCAGTTGGGGTGCTGGATGTGCTGCTGGGGATGAGGGTGGATGCAGTGAGTGCAGGGAGGAGTGTGAAAACCCGTCTGACTGTGAGGAAAAACACAAAGAGTAACCCCACAGATCAAACCGGGGAATGGCGAGAGAGCTGACAGAGGATTAGAGAAAATAAAAAATGTTTGGTTTATGTGTGTGTGACTGCATGTGCGTGTGTTTTAGCTTCCAGGAGGTCAAGAAGGTCATTCTGTGGTATTTGTTGTGTGGCCGACAGTGAGAAACTCCTCGCACACTTTCTGACACGTACAGCGGATCAGTTTCCTTCAGTTTCCTTGCCTGTCTGTTCAGCTGCAGGGGTCGAAGGTCAGGTTAGAGAACAGGCAGGGTGGCTAACGCTCATGCTGGTGACCTGCAGCTGAACGAGAGAGCGGGAGAAATGAAACGAGACAGCCCGGAGAAGAGAAATGTATCTGTGTGGGTGGAGGAAATCCCTACGTGGTACACTTAGCCAAAACTAATACAACAGTCCTGCAATAAACCCCACCTTCATGGAGATTATAATGTTCAGAGAGGTGTTGATTCAACCGAGGATGCGGTTGAATTATATATTAGTTTTCACCAGATTTGATGTTGCCCTGGTGTTGTTTTTACCTCATGATGTGATATTGAAGCCTGGCACCTTGCTGAAGTTAGGGACCGTCTCAAAAGTCCAAATATATCAGTCAAGAAAGCTTTATTGATTTTAGTGAACAGCTTTCTGGTTGATTTATAGATACTTTGCATGGACAACAGCCTTTTTTAAATTACGTTATATGGCCCAATGAATTATTATGGCGCATTTTTTTTCAATATCTTTCAGATTTTCATTATTATAAACACTTTAGACCAACTTTACATTCTTGTGGGCCTCAAGTCATGAGCTGAAGTCAGAGACCGTCTCAAAAGTACAAGCCGAATTATGCCAGTTTCTTATTTTTATTTCTTATTTTTATGTTTTTGTCAGTATCTTTCTTCTTTTTTATTCCAAACATTTTACACACATTTACTTCTGAATATACAAAACGTTTTAAAAGTTTAAAAGAAAAAAATTTTTTTATACCAGTAAAAACCTGTAAATACCACCATAAAAAGTTACACCGCATTCTTATTTAAACAATGTTTATACTTAGACTTACAACACAAATCATGCTTTAATATGTAAGTAATCTGCGTACATGGTTAAAATATGATGTTATTTTAAAAACCTTACTTGTACATATATGTATGAGGAGTATAAATGGCAGCAGAACACTATTTAACACAGAAAATGAAACATTCTAGATGATTTCCACCCACTTCTGGTATAAACCTGAACACTGATATGAATATAGACATTTCTGTGAAATAAACAGACATAGATAATTGCAGTCATCCCCTAGAGGCAACTTTTCCTTGAGCAGCGCTGATGATTCATATTCATGACCCTCACTCTAGTGTGGGATTGACTCGGACTAAATTTTGCGCGGTCGCTTAAAGTACAATATCTCATTTAATGATTCATTTTCAGACACCAAAATGTGGCTGCATTCACTATTTTTGAGGATTGAAATAGAAAATCCTTTTGATTTACATCGTTCAGTGAAATATATCTGGTAGCGTATGTGCTGAATTTGCATAATGTGAAAATCCTATGGTGTGTGTAAATGTCTGCTACCATTCAAGTGGCTAGTGGAAGTGGGTCACGCTACATTTCCATATTTCACGTGTATAGTTAACCCCAGACAGCTTTTATCTGTTGCATTATGCATGCTGTACCATTATATTCAAACAATTAATTTTTAATCAGATTTAAAGTGTTGTAAATGTAAATATCATGTTGAAGGGGAAGATGGTACGCTAATGAAAGAAGCTTCAAAACTCATTTGGGACCTTGTGTATAGTGTTAGAGCTTCAAAAGCTAACTACAAAGAGAAATATTGATTATTATGGCTGACGCTCGCATGTGTTTCTCTCTTTGTCTCTCCACAGATGATACCAAGATCGCCCTGCATCTCAGAGACAACCAGGGTAGGTCCCCATCTTCCTATGGCTGCTGCTAGACGGTGCCTTTCTTTGTCTGCCTCCTGTTTTGTTTTCTTCACTGATGTATTGGTCCCTGATTGCTTTTTGATCTTTTTGGAGGATGCTGGGCTCAATCGGCTGATAAACTTTATCCAGCCGCAGACTGTAATGCTTAACTGTCCTTGGTGGGCTGCTGCGATCAATTATAGTATCTGGACTGGTGTGAGGGAGAGTAGAGGCTGCGTGACCTAAAGTTGTAGTTGTTTAAAGTAACAATAGTCACAAAGGCAATATACAGAAGATGATTTTTTACATTAACACCTCGCTATCTCTACGGTATGAAGAAAGTGTCTATACAAACATAAAGATTTAGAGTTTTAGATGTCAACTAGTATGAATGTTCGACTAAAAATACGATATATTTCTCATATTGGAGGAGTAAAGGAAAGGTAAGAAGCTTGTTTGGTATGTTTGTGTATACAGAATATAGGTATACGAGACGGTGATCTTCTCACTATTTGAAAACAATTATTTTAACACTTCGTATTAAGATGGAAAATTGCTTCTTACACTGTGGATACAGGATTGTCTGGCTTTGTTTGTGGCATTATACAACATTATAAATGCCAAAATGAAAATTAGGCTTTTCTACAGACTTCTTATGCATCGGTTATCATTAATCAGAAATCAAGTTAGGAAGCCGTTGCATGCAAAGATTATTTTATTATCGATTAAAGGGGCTTTCCAGCTATTTAGTATCGTACTTCCATACATTTGTGGGACTTGTGAGACATAGATTGAAAACAGTGTCTCATTTTGTGCGACCATGCTTGAAAATGACTCACTGATACATTTTTCTGCCATTCAACAAATCAATTAACTGACTAATCATTTCAAGTCTTCCAGCATTTTTTTTAGATGCAAATAGAGAATCGGGTGAATTGTCTATTCAAAGATTACTTTCAACATTTACCCAAACCTGATGCCAGAGCTTAAGACAGTCTTTTTTTGACATTTATCTTAATTCTTTACATCAGTTTAATCAAACTAAATTCAATTACAAATAATTTAACACTGCTATGCTAATGCTATATTTGGTACAGCACCTTGACAGTTCAGTATTTCTCTCACACTGAGCTCCACATGCGTTAGCTGCTAATATGTGCAAAACACCCCAACTCTGAAATGACTTCCAACTCTATCAGTTTTTTTTTTTTGGCTGTAGCCTCTCAAATGTTTCATTTCCTGCTTGAGAGGAATTGGAAATCCGCTTCCATCACACTTTCATTACACAAACGCTGCCTGTCTCTCTTCACTCTTGTGCCGGCGCCTGGCACTGTGATGATAATCGTAGCACTTTTTTTCATGCATCGAACCTTTTTTCATCACATACTTGCCAATAATGTTGTTCAGGGTGAAAAGAAATTGCGGGGAAGGCGCCGGGATTATCACTGAGAATAGAAAACATGGATTAAAGCATGAATTTCTACTGACCAAATCAAAGATGATTTATTGATTTTAGACACAAAGTTTAGTACATATTATAACTACTTAATATTTATCAAGGTTTAATTAATCAGACTGTTTTTTTAAATAATATTTTATTAAATTTTCTCAATCCAAACAAAGAACAATAGAGCAGATATTGCCACATTGCAAGACAAGAAGTGATTAATTAACACACATGGTTTGCAATATGAATTACATCATATGCATTCTTGTTCATATTAGTACCGTGTCCAAGGAAAGAAAGAGAAAACAAAAAACTGTGTCTGTGACTTGTTTCTGAAGACTTTCTGCAGTAGGTCAATGATAAACAATAACAATAAGATAATAAAGGAACGGTTGCCAACTTTTATAAAAGAGGTTGTCGTTGCCCTTTAATGTAGCACTGAGTTGTTCCATAGGATAAACCCGTAAAATGTTTCTCCTAAAATGTGTCCACTTCATGATCCAGAATGTCATCAGCTGTTCAATTCTCATATCAGGCAGTAACACCAAGATGTCCTCTGACCTTGACTGTGGTAGGAAACGTCGAGATTACAGCCACAGGAAGTGCTGAGATAAGGAAACAAACTGCCCTTTCTCCTCCTGAGCAGGGACACTGGAAGTCAGTCAGAGTTGGGAGGTGCTGAGAGAAAATCTATCTATATAATGACGTCATACTGAATGCTAAATGCATGGTTAATGGTGGTTTTTACATGAATTTGAATGGGCTATTAACAAAAGAGTTATTAACAAAAAGTTTGAAATTTTTTAGTGGATAAAACTGATAAAAAATAAGGCAAAACCTTCCTTCCTGCTATAAATACCAGTAAAAAAAAGAAAAAAAAGAGCGAAAGTAAACATTTTTATGAACTATATGTGTTTATTTTCTGTATGTGAGACTATGTACAGTCTGTGGCAACAAATTCCCTGGAAAGAACAATAAAGAATCTATGTATCTAATGGTTTTCATTATGCTGCAGCTCCCTCAGCACACCTACTTCCAGCGCCCATGCTCCTCAGTTCATTTACAAAGAGTCCGAATTAATAGGTCTGCACAGCTTGTATTGTTAGTCTCCTAAAAACCCATTAGCCAGGTGAGAGAACGGTTGTGCTCCGGTGTTACTGTGAATGTAGAGCTGAAAAAGGAACAGCTTGGCTTGGTTTTCCATCGCTCTCATTTGTCCTCTCTCAAAAGCTCTAATGTACATTATTGCTGTCTAAGAGCTCTGCTGTCCATTAGTGTGTACTCGGTCTCCTCGGGTTCTTGCAGTCAGGAGGACAAAGCTAATGGAGAATGAATTTGGGGCAATTTGCTAAAGACATGCCATTTCTGTGTCCATAATTATGAATTCAAGAGTTTTAGCCATATTTGAGGCATGGTTCTTTAGTGTTGGTTTTTTGATTGGTCAGCAACAATTCTGATAATTGATTAATCGTTTGAGTCAGTTATCAAGTAAAAATGCCAAATATTCAATGGTTTCAGCATATTACATTTGAGGATTTACTGCTTTTGTCTTTGTTTTGTTGTTCATTAAATACCTTTGGGTTTATACTTTTGCAATTGGGCAATTGGAAGATGTTAGCTCCCTACTTCCAGTTGTTTTATGGACTAGATAATTAATACATCAAATAAATAGTAGAGTAGAGTTAACTTTATTGTCCAGGAGGGGAAATTTGTCTTGGGCAGAGGAGAAGGGATGTACAGGCTCTGCATGGGCTCTTTAATCATCTAACATTTTTCCCATCAGCCTCAGCTGTACTTTGTCATAACAAGGACAAAAATGGCAAGGCAAAGCAGACATGAAGACTAAAACATACTTGTTTAATAATTTTAATACTTTCAACAACCTAATATGACCCAGTATAAATTATATTTTGTCTCCACTGTCTTACTTGTTCAAATGTACCACTCAGAAGAGCCTCGACCTGTGTCTGCTAGCATCCCGCTGGTTATTTAGCTGCTAGGCTGTTGGTTTGTCAGTGTGTCTACATCTCGGCTCAGCCGCATGCCCCCTGCTAACCTACCAACACCCCAGACTAACAGCCTGTCGCTTCGTTTGGACTTCCAGCTGACCAAGAGATGGCTCTTGGACTCTTGTAGCTCTGACAGATAAACACAGGAAAATGCCTTTCTAAAAAAACAGGAGAAAATCAAACACCCTTTTAGTGTGTTTTTGTTTTATGATTAAGTACATTTTCCCTGCCAAGTTGTTTTTCTCTGAAAAGCAGGGCTCCTGATTTGCAGCGTGTAAAGCTCTGAGAGCTATCATGAAAAACACCAAATGGCATTATAAAAACAGTCGGATTATGGACAATGGAGGTAATCTAGTGTTTTGTTTTGTTTGTTTAATGTGAAAATATTATGTTTCAGCACACCAAATTATCCCTACTTTGTCCTTTATTTCCAGCTTTCAGGAGTGCACATAATGGCTACACTGACTTACACAACCACACATTCACAGTGACTGCCCACACACATCGGACAGGTTTGATTACCACCCGGTTATTCTGTGTGCTGGAAATCAATGAGGCAGGGAGCCAGGGGAGAGGCTGGTTGGCTGACGGGCTCAGCAGTGGCTATAGCTGCTAATTAAAGCCAGGGAGGAGCCCGGGGGAGAGGTTGTCAGGGGGGCAGAGAAGAAGAAATCTGAGAATAGATCTGGACTGACCTGCTATAAATCTGTGCGAGATAAGCTTTGGAGGGGCAGCATCCTTGCAGTTTGTTTCATAATCACTTTATTAGTTCTCTCTGCTATGATTAGTGTTTCGCTGCTGGGACGTGCGAGCACTATCAACACTTTTTTTTGTTTGGTCTTCTATTCTTATTCTATGTGTTCTTTTAGCAGACAAATTGCAGGTGTTTTTTTTTTTTTTTGGGGTGTTTGGAAATTGTGCCTCCATAGATGAAAACAGATATATATTCCCAGTAGGCTACAGGACGCTCTCATCATCTTCAAAAGAACTCTCAAAACACCTGCTGGGTCGACTTTGAGGCTGAATCTGAAAAAGTAACATTAAAGACGAGAGAGCTCTACCAAGGCTCACTCAAGGACAGATATATTATGTAGTCACTTGATACAGCCTCTTCAGTTTGCATTGCCACGACTTGAGGCTACAATAGGACTCTTATCAGCTATCTATAGGCCGTATCCTCCTCCTCCTCCTATCAGTTCCATATGCTGCTAACCTTGATTTGAGATTAACTCTTACTCGCCGTACTCGCGGGGGAGAAAAAACTGCTCATGAATACCTAAACAGACCACAGATGATGATACCACAGAGAGCCAAAGACCCTGTTTAAACATGAACCTTGAATCTGCTCTGATAGTGAAGGAAATGTCCTCTTAATTACCTTCACAAGGACATTAAAAAACTCTGTAATCCACTGATAATTCATATAAACGTAACTATTTTTAAACAAACATGGCTGAGGGAGATTTACAGTAGACGTGTGTCATTGTTTTAAGTCTTTTTTCCCCCAATGTGGTGACATTTAGCTAAATTTGGGAAATCAATCAATTTTAAGGTATATTGGTACATGTAAGGAAGGAAGGCATTGATGAATGATGAGTGTCCCCTGCTGGCCAACAATGGAACTGCAGCAAAAGGAGAAAAACATCATTTTGGTGCTTTTTATCCAAAGTATATCTGCATTTTAGGCATGTTTATTTGTTTATTTATAGGAGACAGTGCTCATTAATCAACAGTGACATTTTAACAACTTCAGTTTAAATGTGCTGAGGTTAACAGCTAATTGCACCCATGGGACTACTAACAAATAATGAAAAGCAGTCGTACACAAAGTTAGAATGACAATAGGAGAAAATACTAAAAAAAGCTATAAAAACACAAGTATTGGTTTGTCTCAAAAAAAGGTTGTAACAGGCTGTTTTTGTGTGTTGTTTTTCAGTGATGCCAGCAGACAGCGCTGTAGACAGGATGCCAGGTACACACCCATTGCACATTGGTCTGATCCTCGGCATCCTCCTGGTGATGCTCATCATGGTTGCCGGCGTGCTGGTCACTGTCTACGTCTACCACCACCCGACCTCTGCAGCCAGCCTCTTCCTTATTGAGGTGAGTAAGAGACGCCGCTGCTGCTGCCAGGTGTTTGATTCCCAAATGAAATCGTTTACTGAGAGTGAAAGTCTATACTTGTCCGCTGAAACAGTAGTTAACAAAATAATCTCACCACAAGGTCCTTTTAGTAGCTGTGTTGGATCTTTCAAGATTGACAGCTCATACTCGATCTACTGAGGTAAACTCTTAAACTTTTAAGCCAACATGTACGAGAAGTCCTTGAAGTGCTCCAAAAGACTGCATCTTCTGAGAGAGACTGTGGGATTTGATCAAAAAGCTCAGCTACTTAATAGACTAAATAGTTCATATTCTGAAAAAGATTTGAACAATTTATGGACCCGTAGATGAAGAAGATAGGTAGTAGGTTTGTGCTTTAACAAAAAAGATAGATCCTCTATATGTTTGGTATGTTAAATGATGAATTATTCAATCATTTGGAAATTAAATTTATGAGTGGCCTTTTTTTCTCTACTTTTTTACTTAAATGTGAATACTGTTTCAATCATTACTGTCACTAATCAATCAATTATTATTCAATCATTTGGAAATTAAATCCTCATTAATATGTTTGTTCCTTTGCTGGGGAAAAGAGTTTTTGTCTGACTTCCTCAATCAGTTCAATATTTTTTCGTCTTAAAACGCAGACAGTTATCCCTTGCCAGACTATTAAGTTAGGAATGTGTAAGAAGTTTTTTTAGTTTTAATAAGACACACTTATTCTCAAACCCTCAGACATTCCAGTGTAATAGCAAGAAAAGATATCTGGCCGACTGTACAAAAACACACCACATTCTGTGCTCGGTGCATTTTATCCTTCAAATCCTGACTCATAAATATGCATTGTGATTTTCAGAGGGGAATGATGAAACTTGGTGCACACAGCCTGTCTTAATAAATGAATGTGAATCCCCCCGAGGATGAGTAGGTGCTGTTTGGAGAGTGTGTGCTTATGTTCAAACATCTTTTAAAAACAAAACAGCTCTTGTGCAAAGTTGTTCTCAGTGTCGGTATTACAAGGTCATGATCAGTCACAAGAACTCCCTGATGTGGATCTTGGCATACTGTACATCAGACGGAGGATTTATCATTTCCTGTTTATAGTTTATCTCTTTAAAGGATAAAGAAGGTGAACAAATCTCCGGAAAATAGCAAAATTGGTGATGGTCTCCTTAAAAAAGGCTAAATAGTGTTACTCACAGTAAAATAGTGCATTTGTTGGGGACTGTTTTTAGCCTTGGATCACTCATTTTCCTGGGACTCGCACAAGGAATCGCAAAATTTAAGGGGTCACAAGATTATTTCCTGGGTAGAAAGAAAGAAAAAGAACAAAATGTGCTACACAGATGTTTTTTTTCTTTTTTCTTGTGAAATACTGAATATTTTTACTTCTTCAGCCCCCTTTAAAAAAATTCAAATGAGTCAGAGCAGGGAAGATTACACTTTGATAAGACTGCTCACATCTCTGAATATCATGAGACTTCAGCATATTACACTTACACACTTTAACTTTAACAGAGGATTACCAGAGTGGTTTGTTCTGAGGATGTCTTCCCTCATTCTCACTACTCCCTCTATAACACACTCAATAGTTTATTCTAAAGTGAGCAGAGTGACCTTTTTAGATGTATAAAATGTGTTTAAAAAATGGCATTGTGGGATTGTTTGCGGAAAGTAGTGAACATACTATGGACGCTACTTTTTGTGTTCCATTGTGGCGTTACATACAGCATAACTTACACACTCAAACACTCAAATCAAATGGTAGTGGGTGAATATAGTTTTCAGACGCTGGCTGTCCTCAGGTCACAAAGATCAACCTCAGCTGTAACCCTTTAGATGACACTGTGACCTCTGACCCTAACCCTCACACACGTCCTCTCCCTTGCAGAGACGCCCAAGCAGGTGGCCAGCCATGAAGTTTCGCCGGGGGTCGGGTCACCCAGCATACGCAGAGGTGGAGCCGGTGGGCCAGGAGAAGGAGGGCTTCATCGAGTCCGAGCAGTGCTGAGGGAGGAGGGGGCGCCTGCTTCCCCGCAGCCCCCCCCTTTTCCTGTGCCGACCCTCCTTCCTCCTGCTCCACGGGGACTTCTCAGAACCTCCAGGATCTGCCTATCGGCGGAGGAGCTCAGTGTACACAATGACTCGTTAAAGACTGTGGAATCGGCCCATTGAGCGCTACATGAGACTGGATAGAGCAGACAAATGATATGAGGAAGTGAGAAAACCCTGAAAACTGATCCCAGACTTGAACCCGTTGTTCAGCTCCTGTTGGCAAGGAACTGATCCACTGGGGGCAGAGGGAGGGAACAGCATTGATGTCATCGACTCCGTCAGCATTGGTTAAGTTTTGTACGGCTGCTATCATGTTGCCATGGAGGGATTGTACAGCCTGACTGCCTAGACTGGATACTGGTGTGTCTGAGGGGGGGGTGGATTATACAATATATATTTTCAGAAACAATACAGAGTATGTGAACAGAGATTTCCACTTTATTGTCGGAGGGGGTTATACTGTATAGGCCTTTGTATATCCATCAGGTTTTTACTTATTTCCTTTTTCTTTCAGTATGTTGATTTCAAAGGGGTTGGCACATTTATCTGTATAGACCGTCGGTATTGCTTTTCAATACCATAGCAGGCTTAATTGACTTTTCCACAGCCCGCTCTGCACAGAGAGGTTGCAGATATGACGCTGAGCTGAACTCCTGCCGCTGCGATCGATCGCGGCTCAGAGAGAAAAGCTCTGAACATCGGTGTTTGAATTAGTTTGTGATTTTTTTTTTGGCTGGTTTCATTTCCTGAAAATGAAGTGTAAGATATTTTTTTGTTCACTGAGAATATCTCAGCGGGTTTTTATTTTTAATGGGTGATGGGCACACTCTTTCTCTTTCTTTTGATTGGATCTTTGATTGATCATTGATACCATTTTTTCATTACTGCCGTGCCATTTTGTCCCTGACTAGAGTTTGCACATTTTTTTTTTCCATGCACATTTTCTTTTCTCATTTGACATGTGGTACTAATGCAAAATGACAAGACAGGCGCTTGTGAGTGTGTATGCTGAATATATTTTCTAAAGTGTAATTGATTCTGTGTGTGTGTGTGTGTGTGTGAATGCAAAAGAGAGCAGTTTACAGTAGTGGTTGGATATCCACCTGCTTTATGGGTGCATATGTTTGAGCTGGCTCTGCAACAGTTGATTCTTATTGATTTGAATCTGAGGTATCTGGATACGGTTTGTGTGAGCCAGAAAACACACTGGTATGGTTGGAGTTTTTCTTGATTTTTACAGTGTGGTTTCCTTTTTGTAGTATGTTGCCAGCATAACCATTGGCTAGTCTGTGTTTATGTTCTGATTGGCTCGTCCGTGTAATACACATTAATGTATATACCAAGGCCAAAACATTTGCAGATTCAGGTAACTCATGGCAAACATTTGTAGAATAGCAGTATAGTACAGAAAAAAACTTTTTTTATTTTTTATGAGTGGCCTTTTTTTCTCTACTTTTTTACTTAAATGTGAATACTGTTTCAATCATTACTGTCACTAATCAATCAAGGCTTCTAACTGAAGAAATTCAAACACTCATTTATACTTTTAGCTATTATTTCAAGACAAAAAAAATCATGTTTTTACAATGATCACCAACGATTGTACTCATTTTAGAGACACTATCAGCATCCTGGAATTCTACTGAAAAATAAAAACGTGCAATATTACACTGAAAACACATAAAAATAACAATCATCTGGATTTATTTTCTTTTAGTCACACCTTGTCGTCATCACATTGAGACCAAAGACTAATCAGCATCTGAGTGAGATATATTTCCAAGTATTTACCTCAACCCCCCCACAGCCTCAGCAGCCATACCAGTTTAGTTGTAGCCACAGTGTTTTACTGGTTATAGTGGTGTTTCTCAGCCATTCACAATATAAAACTGCTACACACCTGACTGTTCTCTAAAGCCCTCCCCCTATCAGCGAGTGTCCAATCGTAGCTTAGCAACCGTAACTAGACACAGCATAGCCTGTCCAGCTTTGTTTATGAGCTAAGTGACCCCGCATTTTAAGAGTTTGGAGAGTGGTTTCTTTTTATTTATTACAAGAGCAAACGTGTACGAAGTGGATTAAACTATCTGCTTGTCTGCAGTCATTAGCATGCGCGGCTAACTAACTTGCTTCCTACAGTAGTAATGAACCATAATGCCGCCAAGGCTAAGAACCGCGGCGTTAGCTCAATCAAAACAAAGATGGCAGCCGACTACCTGAATAAGAGTCCTAACTTGAGAAACTGGTTAAAATCCGATTAGTCATTTAGTGGAGAGAATATTTTTTTAACCATGAGCTTGTATGAGTTGTTGAGGATTTGGAAAACACCGCCAGAATATCGGCAACTGTTTAAACAACTTTCTTTGTGGCTAGTTAATTATCTATAACCGATGATGCCAATATACAGGAGAGGGATAAAGTTGGCTAACGTTACCTCAGGTACCAAGCCAAGCATCTAAACAGGGTTATGGTGACAGTATTTGTTTCTTTATTAAAACAGTAACTTATAATATGGGACTCTGCCTGGGACTGCTTTAGCCTTTTAGTATTAGTGTGTGGCCGTCGTGTGCATATTCGACAAGATTCATGTTTTAAAACAAGTCAGCTTTTTCAACCGACTCCTGGAGCTAGCATTCGCTTAATTATCTAGCTAACTAGTAACTCTGAGTATTAAACAGCCACAGTTGTCATTTAGCTACAAACGAGAAGCCTGCACTTGTCTAAAGTCAAGCAGTTCTAGTTCGAATTTCGATCGTAAATCCGCCCCTCTATTAAACCGACGTTCTAGAACGGAACGGAGAGCTTGGCGGGCGTAGCAACAGTAACGAAGGGGGCGGGGCTTGGCCGACGTAGCCATTCCCTCCTCTCAATTACACTTCACACATCAGCACGTCACACGCGCACCCAAAGAGCCATGCACAGTACCAAATGAAGGACTCACTGGCTGTTTTCAACCTTCACACAGACCCTTCTTTACAACCGATGTGGTCTCATTGGTGTCGACCAGAGAGTACAAACTCCTGCTTTTTATGACTCCCCATAACTCCTTTCCACAGCTGTTTTTTTTAAAGCATACAGGAGGATTAAGTTTAACAAGCCAATGGCTTTTTTTCAACATTGTAACATTGATCCCTGTGGAGAAATTATCTTTGCAAGTGCTTGGCACATCTGCTTGTTGTACACTGCCACCTGAAACTGCAAGTGTTTTTTTTTTTTATAACTACATTCAAAATGCAGTCAGAGAAGGTGGTTTGTGTGAATCACGTACACAAAAGCCGGAACACTTTGAGGGTTGTCTAGCTAGCAAAGTCTTCACTTGCTTCACTGGACTTGACTAATCACTTTCACTCCCACTTTATTAACGATGTTATTTCAGATGATGAGAAGCAGCATAGTGGTGTTATTGCGATAGGTTACTGCTGTGTGATCTGATTTTTTATCTCTGACTGAGTTGGATGGAAAGATGTTAAAGTCACACAGATTCAGAGGCGATTGGCGGAGCTCAATATAAAGAAACAAGAACTGTGACCTTGTTTTTATCTTATCATCACACTCCACAGCACACAACGAGACTCAAAATCACACAGTATCATAGCTGTCTGTAATTTCTGTAACTGCTGTTGTTTTGATTACATTTGAAATAATAAACAATGTTGTTAAATACAAGGACATCCTATGAATATTTCTATTGCACTAAGGAGCTAATATCATATATAACCACTTCCATGAATCAGTATTCGTGTATTATTCTAAAGCACAAATATGGAGAAACACCATAATCTGTTTTAAAAATGCCTGCCAAAAAATAAAATAAAGTTGGGAAAGCCAATGTTTGACTGACAGAAGGCTGAATGCTTTCTGTCAATGTTCATTCTGCCATCAAGTCCATCAGTTGACAGCTGTGTGCAGCCCATTTCTGAACAAAAATACCACATTTCTTCTTTAAGGCGTCTATATTGGTCCTGAAAGAGAGCACGACAGTGAAAAAAATGCTGTCTGGTTTATTTGAAAAGCTTGGATCAGGTAGATAGTGGAACTGCTTCCCTGCAGATTGAGGAGATAGGGCTCTACAGCAGTACAGAGAGAAAGCTGAGTAAACAACACCGCAAAGGGAAGCTCGCAAGCTGGGAGGGATGACGAAGGAGGAAAATATTACTGACCGAGCAAGGAAGAGCTTTTTTTTTTTTAAGCCTATTTTCTTCCACGTAAGATTGGTTCAGTAGCACGAAGGACAAAAAGGGAATTAAACTTCTGTAATGTTTGGTGGTAGAGCTATAACTCAAGGACATCGTCAGGAAGTAATGACGCGTGCTACATAAACACAGGCACTGCACATTTTGCCTATAAACAATAATAAGTGGGTGTTGATGGTCGGACACCCAGCTATTACATTCCCCAAATCAAGTCAATGAATCTATTGTAGGTGAGGTCATACCAGTGCCGTGAATCATGTTAACGTGGCCCATCATCTCTGTGATGTTTTACTGCCATCTAGTGGTCAAACTACAGAACTGCTGTCCATAAAGGAACAAAAACAAGTGAGGTGGGTATGTTTAATGCATTATGTTTCAGTCATTTATTTCCTATAAATTACAATACAATCTAATATATTTCTTGTCTGTACACAAAGAAGGAAGAGGTTTTAGTGCTTTTATTTATCATATATGAAGATCAATTAAATATCTTTTGGAATTATTTGAAGGCATCACCGTGAGCTTCTGAGAAATTCTGATACATTTGTTTTAACATTACATAGATTAAATGATTAATAGATCAATCAAGAAAAGAATCTGCAGCTTAATCAATGATGAAAAAAGGAAGTTGCAGCCTTAGTACAAGGCTAGCCTTTATATTTAATTCATAAAAGCTTGTGGAAGGCATTAAAAATCACCTCAAACCCATAATTTAACAAATTAAAGATACATTTTAGTGAAGTCTTCACCTGTAAAATGTAAATATTCAAGGAACAGGCCCCAGAGTTTGCTTAGAATATACATTTATTTGGACCTAATAGAAAAACCACACAGTGCAGCTCTCGTTAAAGCAATTAATGCATTATGTTTCAGTCATTTATTTCCTATAAATTACAATACAATAAAACAGTCTAATTTATTTCTTGTCTCTACACAACAAGACTTCCTGGTCTCCTCATATTCAGGCTGTTCACTATACTAGATTAGTTTGTAGGCAAAAGGAGTAATCAATTAGTCTGCAACTACTTTAAAGGCTGCATCTTCCATTTCAGTTTGGGAAATCACCTGTAAAATGTAAAATGTAAATATTCAAGGAACAGGCCCCAGAGTTTGCTTAGAATATACATTTATTTGGACCTAATAGGAAAACCACACAGTGCAGCTCTCGTTAAAGCAATTCCATCTTTAAGCAAATCTTCAGAGAGCCAATATAAGAGACGTAGCAGGCCTACAAAGGGTACAGCGAAAGCCAAGATAGACGACTGCTTCTTTCATTAATGTCTTAAGAGTAACTTGATTCACATGCTGGACTTTTGACAGTAACTCAATCCCCATTACAAACACTGCTACAAAGGTGGGTTGTATTAGGTTGCACGCCTAACGGCAGTTTCTGTGTGCACATCTTTTGGCACTTTTTCGCAAAACTCTTCTCCTATATATTAAATAATTCAGCTGTGACTGGTGCCTTAGTTCATATCACAGCGCTGATTTCCACTGAAAATGTAGCAAAGTTGACATTAAACCAAATGCAGTGTGTCTCACATCTGTAGCAGTGTTTGTAATTGTAAAAATTCAGAGTTTGTCAAAACCACGACAGGGTGCAACAGGTCCACAGCATGCCCGTTTCCTGTCTCATATTTCTGTGTTCAATGTCAACAAACATTCACCTACACTGGGTGAAATGGCCAAAGTGCATATCTGAGTGTACAGCATTGAGTTTAACAGCTGCTTTAAGGAAACAGATGGACAGTATTTACAGCGTCCCCGTGATAAAGCACTCCATTGTTTTAAACCTTGGCTCTTAGGCCCTGCTGGCTTTCTATCTGACCATCTTGGTGATCGCATTCACCAGGTCCCAGAATGAAAAGCAGCAGATCCTGAGGGACAGGAGTGAGAACAGCTCTGACATTTCCAAAAGACTGAAGGCATCCTTTAAACTGACAGCCGCTTTAACAATGTTATTAGTGCCGGATTCACATGCACATTTCAACAGTTCAACTACAACTGGTTCCAAGTAACTGAAACAAATAAAAGTAACAGCATATGTGAAGTGATCGTGGCAGAAGGATAGGTTAAGGGCAAGGATTCACTACTGTGTTCAGCGAGGCGCCATAAACAGAGACACAAGAGGTAGGACTGTAGGGATTGAAGTGGGTCACACAACCATGGTTAACTACAGTATACTATTGTTACTGGTGGTGTTACACAACCCGATTCATCTGGTGGTCAGTACGGCTCACAAAACACAAGTGAGCTATCGAGGGCCTATAAAAAACAGTGACACCCCCCTTAATGGAAGATTTGAGGGTCTGTCCAGAGCAGCTGACTCTACTCTGTTAGGCAGAGCTCCATGAGTCTCAGCTGGCTGCACACAGGAGAAGATAGTCCACGTACAATATGTATTTCCTCTAGCTCAGGCTCATTGTAATCCAACGATAGTACACTTTAACAAAAACCTAAAAGGTGTCCTGTGGAGGTTTCTTGTAAACTAACAGAGGTTATGTTTTTATTTAGTGCTTTTAAAACACAAGTTGTATCCTTAAAGAATAAGTTAAGCTGAAAAGCAGTGCCCCCCTGTGGTTTAAAATTTCACCTCTAACCACGCCCACCGGGGATGTCACAGCGTCCTGGCAGCCTGTCAACGCGGCCAACGCGTACAAAACAGTGAAAGGTGTGATAATCACATTTTTGTAGGACTGTTTGTAAGAAAGAAGGCTTGGGTCTGTAACTGTCTATAATCACCCAGGGCTCTCTGAGAGGGCTCTCTCAGTGGGAGCAACAGCCAATGAGAGCGAAAGTTATTGAAGGCACTTTATCAAGCAGTTCAAAGGGTGGTCTCATAAAAAACACAAAGCCAATTTCCTTGTGTGCAGCGTTTGTAGCTTCTCCTGAATGGAAACGTCAGACTCCCTGCATTAGGTCTCCTCTATACCCCAGAAACCTCTCAGGTCCTGTAGCCATAGCTGCCACAGACACTGTGGATTCTGCCCCCGATAGAGCTGGCATGAAATACAGCGCCGTCTTTAAACTGTAGTAAAGACGTGTTTATAGTAAAGTAGCTGCTTCCAGCGAGACTCAGTAACTCACCTTTTTAACACTTCTATACCGACCTTCAACCGAAATTCTTCCTCCGATTAATTGTAAGTGAGTGTATCTGTATGTGAGGAGGCTTCATGAGTCGCTTCAGTGGCAGAATTCACGAGCAGGGCCGCATCTCAAGATTGTTAATCAGTGATGAATCTCTATTTATTTTCTTGATTAATTGATAAAACATTTGGTCTATAAATGTCAAGAAACAGTTAAAAATACTCTTCACAGTCTCCTGAAGGCAAAGAGGACGTCCTGAAATTGCTTGTTTCGTCCAACCATCCATCCTTGCCTCAAAAACATCCCCCTGCCACAAAGATCCATTGAAGGGAAACAACATCATTTCTTTAAGGTAACACAAAACAGACAAAAATCAGCAACTGCTCAAGTGTTTTATAACTGACAGTGTAATAAACCTTACAGCAAGAGAAAAGCATTTACAGTTTGGTCACAACAAATGGGAATAGTTTACAGCAATTCCCTTAACAGTCATCAACAGAGTATTATGGTAACAATTTAGTAGTGCAGTTCTGCCGTTGGTATCCGCCATGACGAAGGAGTGTACACACTGGGTTTAGAAATAACGACGGCTACCTGTGTAACAGCTTGTGCTTCCTTGTTTTAGGTTAAATTTAATCATTTCCTCGTCACACAACCCTCGAGACAACATTACGAACCAAAGATCTTCCAAACTACAGAACAGAACATCATTAAAACAGGAGAATAAAAAGGGCATTTTTGTGGCAAAGGCCTCCGAGATCACAGTGAGAAGATAGGGCATCATAAACAAATGCGCACAACTAAAACACACAGTAACGCGTCTGATTGGAAAAATAAATATCATAAAATCACACAGGTTTGTACATTCAGTAACATTTCTGTTATTTACCCTTTTCTTTCTTGTCAAATAAGCAGCTTTGCCTCGGGTACAGTAAGGCAGGGGCTCCGATAATGGTGATTTAGAGGACCAGTCAAGAGTCTTGTTAATCTGAAATCAAACACACGGTGCGTTATTGATACAGCTCCTTTTTAATATAAAAAGAAACATTCAGCATTTCAGTAAACTACTCTGATATCACTGTTACTATAGTGGTGTTAAACAGGAAATAGGATCTCTCCTTGTCTTACTTTGGTTTTTATGGAGACGAAGGAGGAAATGACAAAAAAATGTGCTGGAGGTGTGGAAATAATCCCTGCTGCAATCTAACTTTCATACATACCAGACTGTCACAAAGCATTTACAACCTGAAGGGAGGCTAACGAGTGCATCTACTCTAAAGACATGGTAACAAAAGACTGGAGGCCTCGGAGCCGAGACTGCTGATCACTCACTGGAAAGCGTCTCCACCTCCATGGCTTTCGACAAATTCAGACCAGAGTTCTGTTTGGGCCGCGCCCCGAGCTCTCGCACGTCCCTGGCTGCATTCTGGTTCTCGTCCAGAGCTTTCTTCTCCTTCTCCTTCTCCTTCTCCACCTCCTCTGGGTTGTAGAAGCCCCCCTCATCTGCTACCATCTTCTCCACTTTCTCCAGCAGGCGCCGTACCTGGGGATGCTCCCCGAATATGCAGTTGTTAATGACAAAGTACCTCCGCTTGCACTTCTCCAGCACCCGCTGCAGCTCCTTGCCCTCCCTGCGAATGTACCTCTCGATAGAAATGGTCCTCAGCACCTCGGCCCAGCTGAAAACCACAATGGTGTGCTTCCACACATGCTCGCCGAAGAGACTCACGTGCTCCTCGATGCGAGCGCGGTCCACCTCCGTGAACATGCCCACGGGGATGACGAGCAGGAAGGCGTGTGGACCTGGAGGGCAAAGCGACGCCCCCCTCACTAGCTCCTGTTTATAGGAGGGAGGTGTGTCCTGGGCGGAGAACCAGCCAGGAGTGTCCACCACGGTCACCTGCCGCCCCTCCACTTCCGCCTGCCTCTTCACGCAGAACTCGGCGGCTCGCTCCAAGCGGAACTCCTCTCGGCCGATGATGGTGTTTCCGGTCAGGCTCTTCCCCGGCCACCTCCAGCCCAGCACCACCAGGCGAACTTCGGGCAGGCGGTTCGCTGCCTTGGCTGCAGCTGCTGCCGCCTTTTTGGCGTCCTCGTCTGTCCCAGGGGCATCTCCGGCTGTGGTCATTCATTTATATATTTCAGGGTTGGAATAGAGCATTTATACACCAACTGTTATTTTCATCATCAATTCATCTGCTGGGTGTTTTCTAAAATGATTGTTTGGTCTGTAACATGTCAGAAAATAATCAAAATTCCCTCAAATTAAGATATTAAAACAGCTTCTTTTGTCCAATCAATAATAATAAACTAAGGAAACCAGCAAATATTCACATTTGAGAAACTGAAACCAGTGAATTTACTTCTATTTCTGCTTTAAAATGACCTAACTGACTATCAAAAAATAGTAGCCATACATTTTAATGAAGTGACACCTAATTTAATAGTTAAAACCTTTTCTTAAATATCATATAAAACTCACAATATAACCTAGTTACATCAATACAAGAAGACAAGACGACGTATACTGAATGTAATATACTAAAAGTGTATCTGTAGTCTTCTTTTAAAGCGTTATAAACTGTGAATTGTGCCTTTAATCTCTTAAATAATCATTAACACAAAAACATTTGCCTATCAGGTTAGCGGGCAGGTTAAAAGGTCTCAGGACTCAACTTAACAACAGTGTAAGAACACAAAAAGTAGGTGAAATATGTATTAATACAGTCTCTATATCTGTCACAACATATAAAACATATAAAACGTGTGAAACGTGTCACATCCCGGTTTAACGTCATCCTGGACGACAGCTCGCTAACTTTAGCGCTAATTTTAATAGCCGCGGAAACTCCCCAGTATTTGTTCGGCATGTCGCGGGATAACAACAGTTTTTAGAGAAGAGATATTAAAGTTACCGGCTCACCTGCCGTCTGAGGTGGTCTATTCGCTTCCATACTCTGTTTAACTCCCGGCTGTGGTTTTATTGGGGGTCTTTTTGTTTTAAAGAGGCTCGTTCTCCGGAGAAGGACTTCCTCCTATCTGACAGCGGACGCGACAAGCTGGCCGGAATGTGAGGGCGGTACTTCCGGCCACGTCTTTCAAAATAAAGGCCGTGACAAAACGGATGTAGATTTCAGAATAAGAATCAGAAATACTTTAATAATCCCAGGGGGAAATTATTTTTGTTACAAGACTCCAGGTATACAAACAACATATATTATACAATATCTATGGGTTTTTTTTTATAAAAAGTTCTATATCTACATATTACTTTTTTTTTCCGACCTGTACATACTGCCTCTCCTATATCCTGTTGTGCTATGTGTCATTGTAACGTAATTTAATTTTATGCAAATCCAAACATGACAAATAAAGTCTAAAGTCTAAGCTCTAAGTGAAATCTGTTATCAATTCAATATCAATTACAAACTGTAAATGTTGATTTTAACTGTAAAATTTGATCTTTTATATATTTTTGTATATATATATAGTATAATAGTTATATATATATTATATTTTGTTCTTAATTAGATGTTTGCCATAATATGTATATTGTGTGTATGTATATCTGGAGTGTGTAACGGAAAGTAATGTTCCCGCCTGGGGATTTATTAAAGGTGATTTCTGATTCTGA